TCATTCATTCATTCATTCGTTCAATATTTATCGAGTGACTACTATGTCTTATTCTAAGCCTAAGGACACAGCAGAGAACAAAACAGACAAAAACCCCTACCTCAGGGCACTTCCAGTCTAACGGGAGAGATAAATAATTCTAAAAATGATGTAAATTATTAAACACATAAGATGGTAATAAGTGCTATGAAGAAAAATTATGCAGGGCAAGAGCTGAGGAGGACTGGAGGTGTGTTACAATGTTGAATAAAGTGGTCAGGGAAGAGAACTGAGAAGGTGACATTTCAGAGCTCAGGTGTCATGTAACTAGTTCACTCATTCAATACATTCTGTGGTATCTATCTGTGTGCAAGGCAAGATTCTAAACACTGGAGATAGACTGATGAACGAGACAGACAAGTTCCTTCCTACTCAGAGATTATATTCTTGCTGGGGAGACAGACCACAAATAAGAAACCAGATAGGATAATGTCAGAAAGTGACTCCTTGCAACAAAGGAAATAGACACAGGTAGTGTGTTAGACAGAGGAGGAGGAGAAGTGGGTAGGCTGGACAAAGTAGTTGGAGAAGGCCACACTAAAGGACAATTGGTGGAATAACGGAAGCCTGCTATGCAAAGGTCTAAGGGAAAAGCTTGCATTCAAGGTCAAAGAAACAGCATCCTGGCCAGTATGCCTCTGTTGATTGAGCCTGGTCCATGCACCAAAAGGTCCCGGTCAGGACTTGAGCAGGAGGCAACCAATGGATGTTTTTCTTTCTGTGTCTTTCTCTCCCTTCCTCTCTGTATCTAAAAATCAATGAAAACAATTAAAAAAAAAAAAAAAAGGCCAAAGGAACAGCAAGGGCAAAAGCCATCAGGTGGGAACCATGGTGTTGAGCATCAGGAGGCAGTGAATTGGTTCATGAGAGAGAGCAATGCATATGGGAAACCCAAGGTCAAGCCCAGGCAAAATGGTGAAATAGAAAATGTGTCCAGTGGCTTCCTCCCCTCCCTTTCTTTCCTCTAGACATCAGTGCCTCCCCTACAGGTACTTCTCTGGTCTCATTTAATCCTGAGTTCTTTCTCTTTCAAACTTTCAGAAAGGGATGTGATAGTTCATATATACCCACCCCCTCAAAAAAAAAATACCCCACAAAACAAGCAAATGAAAAAAGCACACGATAAGGCTAAAAAGCTATTATTCCTCCTACAGGGATTTACATTTAAATTATAATGATTTAATTATGAAATTTAATGCATCAGCTGTTGGGGCGTTGGAGTAGTTTATTATTGGGGAAGTATATTAATGTCCTATGGCTGCTGTAACAAATTGCTGCAAATCTAGTGACTCAAAATGACCCACGTTTATTACCTTGGCGTTCTGGAGATCAGAAATCCAAAATGAGTTGGCAGAGCCGTGACCCTCTGTGAGGCTCTGGGGGCAAATCTCTTTCTTTTTCCAGCTCCAAGAAACTGCCCCCATACCTTGCCTTGTGGCCCAAAGTCACTCTGAGCTCTGCATCATCGTCACATCTCCATCTCTGACTCTGGCCCTCCAGCCTCCCTTTCGTAAGGACCCAGTGGGTACATTGAACCCACTCAGATTAGCCACTAGGCTAATCTCCCCATCTTAAAATCCTTAGCTTCATCACAGAGGAAGCAGTCCCTTTGCCATGTGAGGGGACGTAGTCTCGGGGCACAGGCATTGAGACATGGACATCTTTGGGGGGTCGTTATTCTATATCAGTGATGGTGAACCTTTTGAGCTCGGCGTGTCCGCATTTTGAAAAACCCTAATTTAACTCTGGTGCCGTGTCACATATAGAAATTTTTTGATATTTGCAACCATAGTAAAACAAAGACGTATATTTTTGATATTTATTTTATATATTTAAATGCCATTTAACAAAGAAAAATCAACCAAAAAAATGAGTTCGCGTGTCAGAGGTGACATAGGGTCGCCATCACTGTTCTATATACACACAAAGCGATATTCTGGAGGCTGTGAAATTAGATCACCAGAAAGCTCCCTGTATTCAGGTTGTTTCTGCTCACTATTTTTGTTGGAATTTCAGGAATGAAACAGTTCGGTAGTCTGTCCGAGGGGCAGCTTGCCCAAGCCATTTGGGTAATTTTCCTTCGTCTCCGTGGGTAAAGTCAGATAAGATTGAATCTCATTGCCCTTGAATTTCTGAACACATGGTTCACCCACAGGCTCATTTGCATGGCAGCTTCTGGGAAAGGGCTTCTCGCACTCTGCAGTGTCTGACCGCTCTGGAATTTGACAAGGAAAGGGCTAATGAAGCAGAAATAGCCGGGCCTGAGTCCGGACCTAAAGGGATGGTCATTATTGTTTACCAGTGAGCAGTTTTTTGTGCTCCCTGCTGTTGGAGGGAGCAGTCCTGTCCTTAACTTCCCAGCAGAGGGGCCTTTGAACCCTGTAGGTTGACCTGTTGTCTCTCTGAATTGCTTTGTTTTCCAAACTCTCAAAGACAGGTCACCTTGGGGGAAATGAGGCAGATCAGTACTGTAATCAGCACCCTGATTCTCATAAGCCAAACTCTGTCACCAGATTATACTCTGAGGGGCTTGCCATTTGGATTCTTCCCACACCTAGCTTTGACCCATTACCATTCCTTCCTTCAAATTCTGCCTCTCTCAGACATTTATTAGATTAGAGTCTTTTCTATTTTCATTCTTTCTATTGTAACTACTATGTCAGAGTCTTTTCTTTTCCTGGCCCAATTTTCAAAGGTCTGTGTCTTATGGATTCAGTGGGAGTTCATCTCCACCATGTCCCATCTCCTTTTGTAGTTCTTGATGTGTCCACACTATCGTCAATATTTGTTGATAAAAAAGATGAATGTAACAGGTGGTTGTCTGTTTAACTGTTATAATTAGCTAAAAATCGTTGTTTAATAGGGGTTTAAAAATGATGTCGACTTTAATTTTTGTTGTTACTTGCATTGCATTAAATCAAAGTTAGACTTTGGAAGAATATGGGTTCTATACTTAGAAGCATTAAAAATGATCTTTGAGGGTGATTTGTGTTGTTGACTTTAACTGAACATTGTCTGAACTGGAACAAGAGGCGGGACAGTTCAGGGAGAGCCTGACTCGAGGAATTGAAAGGATGGCTCTGGCATCAGGCAGCTTTGGGTTTCGGTTTGGCTCCGTCACTACCACCTGTGTGATCTCGCCAGCAAGTCAGGCATCCCTGCCAAGCCTGTTTCTTCCTCCGTTAAATCAGAATGGGAATAGCACTATTCCTTCCTACGGTTCTGAGGAACAACAATCTATTGCAAGTCAAGGGCTTTATATATAGCAGACAGGTAATCAATATTTGTTGAATAAATGTCTCATGGTCAGAGTTCTTTTAACTTTAACTATGATGATGAAAGTCTGTAAACACAGGATTCAGAGCACTTAGTTGTGGGCTCTTATAGTTGGACTAGGGGCCCAGTGCATGAATTCATGCACCTTGAAAGGAGCTGTGGGCCGCGAGGCTGCCTTGGGGACAGGGGTGGGTCTCAACCCATTCTCTGTGCCCCTGCCTGGCCCCTCCCTCCACACCTCCGGTCCCCTGTCTGCTGGCAGCCCCTCTCCCAATGCCGCCACTCCCATGCCCTGATGGCACTGACCCCGCTTGTACCCACTGATGGCGCAAAGCAATTGGGGCTGGTGCCAGCAGTGGGTGCAAGAGGCAGGTGGGACCACAGTGTGCAGGAGCAAAGAATTTTCAGTAACCACCAGAGGCTCACCCCAATGACAGCGACTGGCACCCCACCTTGGTCTGGTGCCCCACTCCCCTGCTCCACCATCCCGCCGAGGCCGATGTCCACCATATCCCCTGCTCTGCTGCCTGCTGCCAACACCCGCCATGTTCTGCGCGCCCCCTGATGAATAGCACACATCATAGTGACCGGTTGTTTGGTTGTTCCACCGTTTGGTCTATTTACATATTAGCCTTTTATTATATAGGATAACCTCAGATCAATACACTTATGCAAGGGGAGTGTGGACCACATTTGTTTCAACTCATCAGAAACAATGGGGTTCTTACTATGAGTTAGACTGGTCAGCTGCTGAGATATGGGCTAGGTATCTTTTAAAAATTCCTGAGTATACAAGTGTCGGTGTATAAAAAACAACAACATTGTTTAAAACTGAAAAATAGTTGCAAAAATACTGAGCTTGTCTCTAGTTGCTGCCAGTAACAGTGGTCATGGGTTTGCTAAGCCAGTGTAACAAATTCTGGAAGAAATGGTTCCCAAGCATCTCTCTAGAACTGAAACTAAATAGGCTGGATTTCTGCCTTTAACAAGTGACTCTGGAGGCATTTGTATGAAGAGAGCAGAAGAAAGCAGAAACCAAGGGGCTGCCTGCAAGGGTGTTTATCTCCTGGGTTCCCTTTCTGCCTCCCTCGCTTATCGCTTATCGGCACCAGCTTGTTTAATTCTCAGCTCCCTGAATCTCTCTACATTGTAGGAATTTGGATCTTTGTTTGAAGCAGATCCCAAAGTTTCTCTTCCACAAGATTCAGCTACTACCTGGGAGGGACGAAAGGTCACCAGACCTTTGCTCTGCTACTTCCCAGCTTCTCACTCAATTGTGGGGAAAGCTCTGATAAAAACTCCCTAGGTGGTGGTGCCCAGAGGCACAGGCCTGGGGTTGGCTATGGAGAAGCCCTCTGGGGGCTCACTGCTCTCGCACTATTTGAAACCAGCCATTGGCTCTTGTAATCGCGGCTCTTGGGCCCCCTGGGCTCGCATTTGGGGGCAAGTGGGTCACCCAACAATGGCAGTGCCAACCCAAGCGCCCTTTTTGATTCTTCCCCAGAGCGACTGCGGGAGACAAAGGGCGTGGGCAGGGGGCGCAGGTACCCGGGTACCTCTGGACATCACCTCGTAGCCCCGCCCCGGAGTGCAGAGGGCGGGGCCAGAGGCCAGCCTGGAGCCCCGCCCCTTCGGCCTCGCGCCAGCGGGCGGAAGTGACGCACACCCAGAGCCATTTCCGGCGGGCGAAACTAGGAAGAAACTTGAAGCTGCCAAGGTTTCCCCGTGCCCGTCCCCGCGGCTCCCGTGCCCTTTGGCCCGGGCCGCGCCGAGCCGTCGGGAGCCCTGGCCATGGGGCTGTGCGGGCGGTCGGCGGTGTGAGCGCGGGCCTCCCGCGGGCCCCCCGGACAGGCCGAGGGCGGGAGGCGGGAGGCGTCGTTGCAGCCGCGGGCCGGGGCGCCCCCGCCGGCCAGGGCTCGGGGCACCATGAACATAGACGTGGAGTTCCACATCCGGCACAACTACCCCTGGAGCAAGTTGCCGGCCAACGTGAGGCAGGTACGGCCGCCGTCTGGGGCCGGCCCCGCCGGCCGTCACCTGCTGGCTGCGCCCGCGGGGCCGGGCTGGTTGCTCGCGGCTGGCTCCCGCCCGCCCCCCGCCGGGTCCGGGGTGAGGAGGGGAGGCTCGGGGGCCGCCGAGGCTGGAAGCTGTGGGCTGGGACCGCGCTCTGGGCTCGCCTGGCGCTTTTGCTTGGAGCCTCCACTGCCCCGGGCAGTGGGCGAGGCGCCCGCGGAACAGATGGGAGACTGACCCCAGAACTTCAGGGCGCGGGGCCGGGGCGGGAAACCAACCAGAGCGTTGCAGGCGACAGCAGCTCTGACCCACCCGTGTTGTCATATACACACCTTCTCAGAGGAGGGAGGGAGCCGTTGTCCAGGGAGTGTCGCGAGGCTGTGTCCCGGGGGCATTCAAACAGGGCCCTAGAGGACGAGTGAAAGCGGGAATGAAGGTTTCCAGGCAGAGGGCACGTCCTGTCCAAAGGCTCGGGCGCGCGAAAGCGTGTCTGGAGAGAAGCAGGCGACCCACTGTCCCGGGCGTTTGGAGGCGCAGGTGCAGGGACCGGCTTGGAGCGGGGGTTGTCTGTGCGCCTGGGCTTGGGAGCAGGTGAGGCTGGAAAAGCAGAGCCGGGTTTTGAAGGGACTTCGTCCTTTTTTTTTTTTTTTTTTTTTTTAACTTTATCCGCATGACAAGATGGGTTTATAAGAGACGTTTCAGCAAGAGAGGTTTTGGGAGTCAAGTCTCAAATGCTTGAGGTTGATTTTTACTCCGTTGTTTGATGCGTTTATTGAACACCTACTGCGTGCTATGCCTTGTTCGCAGACAGACCCTGCCTTCATGGAGCTGACATTTTAGTAAAAAAAAAAAGATCGCAGATGAATAAGCGTAGAACATGGCAGGTGGTGGAACACCGTGGGAAGGGAGTGTGGTAGGAGCTGCAGATGAGCCACTGTTTCTCTGGTCAGAGGTTGGCCTTCCGCTGGGTGGGGAGTGGAGTTCTGCTTCCCTCGGTGCTGGGCAGTCGCCCTGGAAAATTCGGGAGCGTGGTGGTGGTGGTGGGGTCAGGGTTATTGCTCTCCCGGCTTGGAGACTTAGTTCTAGGAAATGAATAATTTAAGGCCTGGCGATGCATCACGTGGCAGAGAAAATACTTTCACTCCGGGATTTCAAGAAAGCAGGGAAGTGGAAGGATAAATTGAAGGAACTCGGAATGCTTGGTTGTCCGTGGCTGCCCGTGCAGTGCTTAGCTGGGCCTGGAAAGAGGGGTCTGCATCCGCTCGCTACGTGTGAAGGAAGGCTCTGGTGGACACTCTTGTTCTCTAGGGTTCTGTGGCATATCTGAAGACGGTCGGAAGAACCAACAGTCCTTTCCTTTGTTTCCTTTTTTTTCCCTCTACTCTTCCTTTCACAAACGTAAATGTAGCATAATGGAAGATTATGTCCAACATGAGAAACTGGCCTTAATTAGTATTGGTAAAAAAACATTTCTAAACCTTAGGCATGCCTATTAAAAGTAATTTCAGAACACTGTTAAAATTAGGTACAAATGTGATATTAGATTAAACAATTTTTGGGGGTAAGAGCACGTAAAAGAATAGCTGTTTAGCTTAGGATAAGTTTGCACTGGTACACGGCATTGCAAAGCACCTCTGCACAGGGTACGCTGGTCTTTCCACTGTCCCTGGGCCAGGCTCCGCCAGGGTGGCTCATCCGCTCTCTATCTCTGTGTCTTGCCCTGAGAATGGGCCCCTCCCATCCATTCTTTTTTTTTTTTTATTATTAGTTAAGGTATTACAAATGTGTCCTCATCCCCCCCATTAACCCCCAACCTCCCCCCCACTTCCTGTCTAGCTATCCCATCCATTCTTCACACTACACTGGGGTGAGCTTTCTAAACACAACCCCAATTCGCTCACCACCCGTCTCCTGTAGTGTAGATGTACGTGTGGCTTCTTCGTGAATCTCAGGTACTAACTCCTCCAGGAAGGGGTCGCTGGCCTCCTAAATCTGGGTCAGTTGACCCTCAGATAATGCACCTCGGCACTGTATTTCTACACTCCGATAGCACTTAGCCCGCTACAGTGCATTTGCTCGTTACAGTACTTGTTTTGCTTTGGTTTTTGGAGCACCTATCACATAGATTTTAGTAAATATTTTTGGAGTGAATGAATGGTGGCATCAGCCTGAGATCTTGCCCCAGGAGCTAAGTGAAAGCTCAGGCAATTTAAAAGTGGGGGATGTTCCTTGTGGAAAGGATTTGGATTTGGCATTAGAGAGATACTAAGTACTTTGATAAAGTTTCCAGCAACTTCTGATAAGTTTAATTGGGAAATGACTCATTTTCCGGTTCTGAAAGCTGGGGGGAAAGGTTTCAGATTGTTAAAATTTTTTTATTTCAAACTATTGTTTTAAAACTTGCTTTTATATGGATGAGATGAAATATTTTTATGGGGTATGGCTCATACTAGACTTAAAAAAACATAAAAAGTTGTGGAAAAGGCCATTATTTCAGGATTTTAAAAGTAGTTTATGAGTATCTTGTAGTCATTGTTCAAAACAATTCATGGTTATTTTATTTTAAATCTTATGAGGAGGTTCTGTATAATCCCAAAAAGGTCAATTAAAAAAAAATCTGAATTTTTTTTTTTTTTTGAGTTGCACATTGAGGTTGGGGTTTGTAGGAACATCTGATGGTGGTTTTTTACAGCCAGTGCCTCTGTTGCCCCTTCATCTGTTAGAGGTCCTTCTATATGCAGCCCAACTCCATTTGTTAGACCTGGTGGGTTCTTCTGCAGGGTCAGCGCTGTCTGAGGGTAAAATGAGCTTTCTTTAGTTGCCTCCTGCAGTGGCAACAGTGTTTTAAAATGTGAATGGTGGGAAATTTGGGGTAGGAGTGGGAGACAAGCGAAAGAATCTTTGTGAACAAAGCAGCTATATTTTATGTAGTGGGTAGTGAAGAGTAAAATCAACTGTTAATGTAGTTCTCGGGTATGTGTGTGCACACCAGTGAATTGATCAGGACCAGTCATTAAAGCCTAGTGCAGAGACTTAGATGTTTAATAGATACTGCACTTTCTAATTAGCTTATAAATAATGGACCCTTATATTTTGTATGAGTGGCTTGAGTTACACTTTTTCTTCTGGAGTTACATTATCAGCACATACATTCCGACGGTAGTGTGAGTTGTGGTTTAAGCTGTGATAAATAATCTAGTTGCAGGAAGATTTTTAGTTTTCTCACATCACCTTTTTTTTCCCTTAAGATACTATCCTCTAATGGTTCCAATTATTTGCCAGTTTATGTAGATGTGAGTTTCATCTGTTTTATGAAGATTGCCTTAAGTGAAAGTATGTGTATGGACATTTACCTGGGCTTTTAAAAACCTGTGAGTAGGAAGTATAATCACTCAACCCTCTGATCTTTCTGTTGCTAGTTTCCTAAGATGTCTAATTTTACTTTATAGCACATCGGAAGGATTATACCTAGTAATTAGAAGAGGGATAGCAGTCACATATTAAGTTTATGGTTACACATTGAATATAATTTGATTATAATCAGGCAAACGTATTCTTTGCTTTCGTGAGAACCCAACTTTGAGCTAAAAACACTATGTGCACAGCTGGAAAGAGTTTTTTGATCATTCCAATAGTATATTGGAATTCTAAAAGTTTCTAAATGTTTTCTAATGAGACCATAAGCAGATGATGTTTTAAAGAAGTAATCTTAAATTTAGAGGTACATTTGAAAGTACATTCTCCAGAAATCTTAATAATCATATTCCTCAGCTAAAAATAGCTATCAGACCAGAATCCATTGTCAGTGGCCATTCTTAAATTTAAATAAATGTAGGTGCAAGAAACCATCCATCCATTTACCCAACGGTGCTAAATTGGGAGAGTCAGGAAAGGAAATCTTTGTAAGTAGAACTTAGTGCTTTGTTAAGTGAAACTATGCTCTCAAATTGCTCTTTTATGTTAAATACTTCAGATAATTTCAGTAAGTCCTTTTAGAATAGCAGACTGGAAATAAACACATTAAAATTTTGCTGTAAAACCATAGCAGAAATTTAGGACAGTAGTATAATATCTAAGAAATTCTTCTCTATTCCGTTCTGGAAAGTTTAGATTTCAGATTAAGTTAGGGGACATTGTTTTGAAATCTTAAGGGGAAAATGTACTATAGTTTAGAAGTTATTTTAAATCTATTTGAACTTTTTTTTTAGAGTCTTGGAAATTCACAGAGGGAATATGAAAAGCAGGTTGTCTTGTACAGCATCCGCAATCAGTTACGATACAGAAATAACTTAGGTAAGTAGAGATATTTTTACATTGAGATGGAATTGACTGTTGCTGAATTATCATTTCATAAATCCTATATTTTCAATACATACTTTATAGTACTGAAATTATTCCATGTGCAGACTTTAAGGAACTATAATGACCCATCCCACCTAACAATTTGCATTAGCAAGTAGATTTTTCTTCCTAAATCTGATGAAATTTATTTTTTAGAGTATTGTTAATAGGTTTGTTTTACCTATAGAATATTAGTCTTGATTCAAATGCCCTCTTTTTACTTTAGGTAAGAAAACATGCCAGAAAAGAAGTATATTAGTTCTTAATAATTTTTTACTTTGAGTTTGTTTTTGTCTCCATAAGTTTTCCAAATACTATAACTTTAATGAAAACTCTTTCTATAATAATTGGAGTACTTTTTAAACACAGTTAGTTTCATGTTTTTATTTGTCAGGTTACTTTGATTAGTTTAATATATTGTCCTGCTAGTCTTCCCTCCCAGGTGCTCTTCTCATTTTAAATATAGTATTTCAGAGAGAGATTTTCTTTTTAAACTTATTTCATGAAAGTCAGATGTCTTTTTACATTTAAATCACAAAAACCAACAAATAATTTTTAAAAATAGACTTCATTTTATAGAAAACTATCATTTGGTTTGGCTATCTTGTAAAGTGGCATAGTAAGGGTTTGAATGAATTATAGATTATGTTTTATACCTTTTTTTGGGAGACATTCCATGCTTACTTTCTTTACTTTTTGATTTGGTATTTGTCTTGTCTGTCTCTATCGGTCCTAGTATACATCTTACTTACATATATTATACATAGTACTTATATATTTCTTGTCATATAATGTTTCTTTGTTCCAACTTAGTTTATTTTATTTATTTTCTTCCAAATTATATACTTTTCTTTTTAATTAATATTGAGTTGTAAAGTATTTCTCATTGCATTTGTAATTATATGTAAGTATAAGACATGTGAAAAAACTGGAGAATTTCCTTCTTTTCCTCAGTTAAACATGTCAAGAAAGATGAACGCAGATACTATGAGGAACTACTAAAGTACAGTCGAGACCATCTCATGCTATACCCTTACCATTTATCAGATATTATGGTAAAGGGCCTGAGGATAACACCATTTTCATATTATACTGGGATTATGGAGGTGAGTTTACTGTGTACCTGAACCATTAGGAATGGGATGGGACCACATGTCAGGCACACTTTGCAGATGACCAGCTCTGCAGCTCTTGCAACATTGGACATTGTTTCTGAGTTTATACTGTAAAAAGGTCTGATGGAGTAACCATCAGGTGGTTGATAACTTTAAGAAAAGTGTTTGTTTATAAATTAAACAGTACATTAGACATGTAGTGTATACTAGCAAAGTTAAAGTGGAATCGTTTGGGGGTCTGGAATAAATTAATTCAATTTACATTTCTCATGGGAAAAAATGATTCAGTTTTTGAACAAATTGCATCTCAGACAGCCTTCTAGAACTGATTAAGTTCAAGAATCGAGGTTCCACTGTAGTTGTCATTATCAATATTTTCACAGTACTTATTTTTATTTGTTCTTTTTCCCCCCCAAATATATATTTTTTTATTGATTAAGAGAGGAAGGGAGAGGGAGAGAGAGATAGAAGCATCAGTGATGAGAGAGAATCATAGATTGGCTGCCTCCTGCACACCCCCACTGGGGACTGAGCCCGCAACCCTGGCATGTGCTCTTGACTGTAATCGAACCCGAGACCCTTTAGTCCACAAGCCGACGCTCTATTCACTGAGCCAAACCAGCTAGGGCTGTTCTTTTTTTATGCTATTACTAGAGGCTCGGTGCCTGAAATTTGTGCATGGGTAGGGCCCCTAGACTTGGCTGGCAACCAGGGCTGATTGGGCCTTCTGGCTGCTGGCTGGTTCCTCCCTTCTCCAGCTGCCGGCCAGGGCCTTCCTTCATTTTATGCTGCCCCCTGGTGGTCAGCGCACATCATAGCAAGCAATAGAACTCCCGGTCTCCTGGTTGAACTGCGGGGACACTTTGCATATTAGCCTTTTATATAGATGGATAGATAGATAGATAGATAGATAGATAGATAGATAGATAGATAGATATAGATAGATAACATTAATCAGCCATTTTTGTTAGCAGAGTTTATATAACATTTATTTCATTTAATGCATGACTAAGGTTAAAAATGTGGGTGACAGATTGAACATTAAGATCAGAGAAACTTAATGTATTTAGCTGTTTACTACCTACAGCAACAATAAATGATGATATAGATCTGGTGTTATATAATACATGTGTCAGACTGCTAATCTTTTTGTAATTATTAACTTCAGATTATTAGCTGCAGAGTTAACTGTTAACCTTTTTCCAAAGGCAGTTTTTAGGCCTCTGTTGAATAACTGTAAATACCAGTTACATACTTTTTAAAACTGAGCTTTTTGTAAAGACTGGCAGCATTTATCTAGTATTCATTTGCTGTTTGATTATATTTGAGTGCTACTGTTTTGTGTTCATTTGCCACTTTAAGAACAGAGAGAAGCCTAGAACCAAAGGAGTTGGGCACCTGTAGTAACAGTGAGATTTGCTCCCTTTACTTATGTCCTTGTGCTCCTTACTCATGGGCAGTTCTATAGTCCCCTATTTTCTGTGTCCTTATTTTGAAGGAAATACAAAGTAAAGCTTGAGGCCTGACAGCCTAGGTTTCTGTCAGTCCCTTTCCTGAGAACCAGAGTAGCATAATGGAGGTGGCTGCTAGTCAGTGAGTAGAATTGTTGTTGTTTCTCTGACTATATTTCTGGTGTTGTCCACAGGTTTGGGGGAGATAGGGAAGTTTTGTCCCACTTACCAGCTTTCAGTTATGTCCATGTGCTTGCTGCTGTCTGGTTTCTGTTCTTACACCATTGGGTATAACTTTTGGGTTGAAAATGGGTGTTATCTCCACAGTAAACAGTTGGTTTAAAAAGCAGATGGGAGTTGGAAGAAGCTGGATCCTCAGTTGAACTCTGCAGCTGATTGGGACTTCTAGGAGCAGAGATGACTGTGTGGTCAAACACTTTGCTGGCAGTACATGTCTTAGATGTGTGTTGATGGAGCTGTGATACATTGCGTAGCCTTTTCTCAGGGTAGGAGTCTAGGATGAGGTGTGAAGTGTGGCGAGGTTAGCATCCTGAGCTCTCCTAGAGGTACTCCTTGCTTAGCTTCCACAGGGCAGAAGTGACAAGGCAACTGTGTGGGATTCATAGAGAGTGCTGAAGGAACCCGGACCCGACAGCCTGATCTTCAGGTATTAGGTGGGGAGGCCAGGTGGTAAGTGCCACTGTGTGGCACACATGCTTTAGGTACCCAAACTCTGATCTCAGTGCTTCATGTAATAGTTATTGTTCCTCTTATTGCTATAGAACTATATGTTTAGACACATATTTTTATCTATAGACATTTTGCATTTAAAATTTTTTATTTATTTTTTTCTTTAAAAAGGATATTATGAACAGTGAGAAAAGTTATGATTCCCTGCCCAATTTTACTGCTGCCGACTGTAAGTATTTAATCATGCTGAAGGCAGTAATGTTTAGTGTGTCCTTGTGTGTGCATGCTATTGTGTCAGTATTGTAATGTGTGAAACACTTGAAAGATGAGAACCGCAAGCATCATTGTTGATACAAGTCAAGTGTAAAATTTAGTCTAAATGTCTCAGAAGAATATTTTGGAGTGTTAAAATCAGAAAAATGGAACTAGTGTATTTATTTCTAGAGAATGAAGTTCTTCCTGATAACTTGGGCTGTGTTGTGTATCAGATGAAGAGAAAAAAAAGTTGTATATAATAATTTTATAGCATGATACACAGTTATAACTAACAATTTGCTGGTGTTTTATTAAGCTTATTTTAATGAGTGTATATTTGAAATGGGACATAGTTCTGTTGTATAAGAAGAAACTTTTGCTGAGAAGTACACTTTGACTTCCTGAAATTGGGAGGACTTCTGCTTTTAAAAAGTTTTTTCCTTTAGCATTGTCAGTAGTGTTTACTTTAATTCATCTCTCTCAGTTTCATTTTCTTTTATATTCTGTTTGAAGAATTCCTTTTAATTTGATATTGCCAACCAATAATTAAAAGATGAACAAAAGCCAAGGGTTTATTCCCTAAAAGACTGAGTGTCCTGACATGTCATGATGTATTGAAAGTCTTTACAGTACAGACTCTTCCTTCCAGGTCTAAGGCTTCTTGGCATAGGAAGAAACCAGTACATCGACCTGATGAATCAGTGTAGATCGTCAAAAGTAAGTTAGTCATTTCCCTTGCTTTCTCATTTCTTGTCCTCCTGATCACAGTCTGATTAATTTTCATGTGTTAGAAATAATGAATTGTAATTTCTCTGATCAAGTAAAGTATGCTTCATACAGAAACCGTACAAAAACTTAGTATTCTCTAGGCTATCACTTAAATGATTATTTAATTAAAACAATTGAAGGCATAGAACATATAGTTAATTTTTTAAAATATTTTTATTGATTTCAGAGAGGAAGGGAGAAAGAGGAGGAGGAGGAGGAGAGAGGGAGGGAGGGAGGGAGGGAGGGAGGGAGGGAGGGAGGGAGAGAGAGAGAAAGAGAAAGAGAGAAACATCAGTGATGAGAGAGAAGCATTGATCAGCTGCCTCCTGCCCACAACCCGGACATGTGCCTTGACGGGGGAATCAAACTGTGACTTCCCGGTTCATAGGTTGACACTAAACCACTGACCCACACGGCTGGGCTATTTTTTAAAATTAATTTTGTCCTGTTGGTCTTTTCTCTTGCTCATTCTACTCCCAGGGTTCACTTAGTGGGTGAAGTGAGTACACTTTTCCAAATGCATTTTCACATCCTGGGCTTCATTTTAGACTGGATTTAGATCCATATTTAATGATTAGTCTTTTTAAGTAATTTATTGAAAAATAATTTGAGATTATTTTCTACATTCAGGGTACAGATTCTTAGAAATGAGAATTTAAAAAGGTATTAGCCTGTTAGAAACAGTCTCCAGATAGGATTGATAAAAAAGAAAGTACTAAATTTAGACCAATTGCAAACTGTACTATTGCAGAAATTTTTCAGAAGGAAAACAGCTCGTGATCTTCTGCCAGTAAAGCCGGTAGAAATTGCCATAGAGGCGTGGTGGGTGGTGCAGGCTGGATATATCACAGAAGACGACATAAAGGTAATCTTATAAGTTATTTTTTATTTTTAAAACTATTTTTCATTGTAGTTCTCTAATTTTTAAAAAGTAACACTATTTTTGTTTTCTTGAAGAAAATTAAAAATTTAAGTGACCTTATTAGACTAGAATATTGGTAGGTTCCCACGATACTCTTTAATAATGAGGGAGACTTGACTTGGTTCATGTGCAATATGGGAATTTTAATTCAATAGCAATTTCAGGTAAATTGATGTGATGCTGCAGCTACCAACAGTCTTTTTGGTTAACACTTTTGAGCACTTGCTCTGTGCTTAGATGTGCCTGGCACTATTCCAGTGCTTTTATGTTGTCTAATTTGTTGCTCAGAGCAACTCAGATGTATGTGTGATTTGTACCCCGTATCACATATAAGGAATGTGAACAGAGAATTGAAGCTATGAAGATGGCTCAAGTCATAGTGGTAATAAAGGTCCAGGATTTTCACCCAGGCAGTTTGCTATGGAGCCTGTGTTCTTAATTACTGTGCTAATTACTGTGTGAAGTGGTAGGTGCTTTGATGGGATAGTATCAAGGTGAAGAGAAATGGTGCTGTCAGTGGTCAGACCACATTTGATATGAGCCTATGGATTTTAGAAGAGACGCTGTACAGGAAAGGGGTGGGGTGACGGACAAGGGCCCTAGAGACCAGGTCGGTCATATTCTGTGTGGCTAAAGAAATGTAAGTGAGCACGTGGATTTTTTGTTTGTTTGCATTTCATTTTACCCCAGAGGATGGATAAATCAAATGAGTGGAAGGCTTAGAAATTTTGTTTTAGTATAAGTATTTCCTAACAGAGCTGTCAAGCTAAGTCATAAGATAGTGCACTTCTTACTCAGCATAATTATGTGGAGTTTGAATCAGCTTTATTTTTGAGAGGTTCAGAATCACAGATGAATCAGATTCCAATTCAAAGAATGTCAGTAAATACTGGTATTTATTAGTGAACATTTATTGCTTACCAGCAAATATTGTTATTTATAGTTACTTTGTTTTCTGAGTTCTGTTGCTAGCATCTTTTGGTACCCTTAATTGATGGTTATGAGCATACCTTTTTTGTTAGAGTTCTGAAGTGATAAATGAAAAAAAAATGTTCAACAAATGGCATCTAATCATTGGTTTAAACATGAATAGATTTGAGGAGACATGGACTAGTTAATTTGGACAGAACTTAATTGAAAATATTTTGCTTTTCTTAGATATGCACTTTGCCTGAGAAATGCGCTATTGATAAGATCATCGATGCAGGCCCTCAGCTCTCTGGATCACTAGATTACAATGTAGTACATAGTAAGTGGTTAGTAGAAATGGTCTTTTGTCAACATAAAAACATGTTTTAAGGCTTCAACAATTAATAGCAATTACTTATTAATTAGATAAAAATAGTAATATTTCCTAAAGGCATGTTATTGTATGAAATGCGACCATAGTCCATTGAATCCCACTGTGGCTATAATTAGTCACATCCATTAGAAATTTATACAAATGGATCATAGAAAAATTTTTAGTTCTGAGCATATGAGGGAAGCTGAGATTTGAAAACTATAATTCTTCAGTTTACTTTTTCACATGGCATTCAGTTGTATGAATCTTTACTACAGCAAATTAGGAATCAGTTGTTTTTTTAAATGTTTAGTATTCCATCTAAAAGAAGGTGCTTTTGCTTCTATAGGTTTATATAACAAAGGATTTATTTATCTGGATGTACCAATATCCGATGACAGTTGTATAGCAGGTAAGCATATGCTAATATTTTTCCATTTTTTTTAATCACTCTGGGCACAGAATTATTACTCTATTAAGTTAGACATAAATCATTCTAGGATCTTTGATGTTACAATTTTGCAAAGAAACTCTTTTTTCTCATTACTCTGTATTCCATATTTTTATTTTTATAGTATTTTGTGTACATACTATATTAAAGTAATAGAAACTTAAGATAAATTTCTCACAGTACTAAATCAGAGTATTGTTTTTATAAATTTATGTCACATTATAGTCCTTGCTTGGTGCATTACAGCTTTTATATACAGTAATATCATAGAATTGTGTATTCTCCATTTCCACTTATCTGTGCCTTATATTTCATGTCACTACCATCTTTTTTATCTTCATCTTCTCACTTTCTACTTTACCCAAGTTAAATCAATGAGGCCCTTGTGTATTTCATTCTACGCTTATGGGGTATATCAATTCATTAAATCATTCCCATATTGCTGGTTATTTAGATTATTTCCAGTGTTTTGCTACAATAGTGATGTGGTTAACATTTTTGAACACAGGATGGAGCTCTTTTCCTATAGGTTAGATTTCTTACCGATTGGTAGGAGCACTTGTTATATGTTACAAGTATGTATTCCAGCATTCTTGTTGTGTTATCTTTTATTATACTAAGGTATCTCATATTTGTGTGATCAGTTATAAAGTGTCAAAAAAATTCCAGGGAATGGCCTTACTATTAACAATTGACTGGTGATAGAGCTACTACGAAAATACTTCCTCATATCAGTGTTGAATCTTTTCTTTTTTCTCTCTGCCTTTCAGTGTTGAATCTTGCCTGGTTGTCATGCACTAGTGTGTCCTGATCTTCATTTGTGTTAGCATGTGTTATGATTCTTTAATAATGCATTCGTATAGACATGAATTCTGTTTTAAGCTTGGGAGACAGCTAAAAAACTCAATGAAATACTAATTCTGGTTTGTATAGTGGGTGCTATAACAAATCAAATACTGGTTTTAAAATTTGAAAGATTTTGACAAGGAATTAATTTCTGAAAGACCGGTGGTAGTGGCTTCCTGTCACCATTGGAAAGTACGAAAACTTTACTCTGGTCCCTACTCTCATTTGATAAACTGACTGAGTCATCTGCGATCCACCTAAAGAGATTGGTCTTTGATTGGTTCATTTCAGTCCATTTTGATAGTTTAAATATTATATTGGCTCAGGTTATCTTTAAGTTTTGAAGGGAGCATCAGAGAAGGGCTGAATGGATGGCTTCTCTATTACAGTGTCATGTTCTGCCATGGCTCACACAGTATCTGGCAAGTTTTGGTGGTACAGACAAGACCCATGGTATTATAACTGCTGTCACCATGTTACCTCTGGCTGTTCCCCAAATTGGAATAACCCATGAAAGGAAAGCAGTTTGATAACATGGAAGTCATCAAATTCAGCACAAAAGACACCTGACGGTGATTTCAAAGGAAGCAGTCCAGCTATGTTTCAACAAAAAAACAAGTACTGTGAATGGTGGAACAAATAAATGTGGGGAGAGAAATACTTTGATGAGAATAATTATGAAAGGGTCTGTTGCTAAATAAAATCCATTTATTCCATCATCACATTTTATACTTGTACATTTTATGTCTACCCATTCCTTTTAGAGCTTTTAGATTTCTATTGTGCTTAGATAGAGTTCTTCTAGGTTATATAAACAGCCTAAAAGTTCTTAAAAACCTTTGTCATATATTTTTAAAACTGTAATCTTGGACTTTTTTTCCTACATGATGTGAAATACGGGCTCAACTTAAATTTTCTTCAATTGGATAACCCATAGCATTTGGAGAAATGCTAGCATGTTTTTTCAATAACTCATTATCACTGAATGGAAGTATAATTTGTCATATATTAAATTTCCCTCTATATTGGATTAATTATCATATCCTTTATTCTTCACTTATTTGTTTTTATTCTTAGACCATATTATTTTCATTACAATGACTTAGAGTAATCTTTAATATTAGTTATAGCCAGGCCTTCGTTGTGTCTTTTCTTTATAACTTCCTAGGTGCTTTTAAAAAATATTTATCTTTATTAATATTTTTTGAGTAGGCAATAATTATGATATAAAATTCTAAATTTACAAAAGAATATAAAAACATCTGCTTCCCCCCCCCCAATTAGCAATCACTGTTAAGTTTTTGTATATTCTTCCAAAAGTATACTAAGCACATAGCATATATGTATTTGTCTTTTTGTGTGTGTGGTTTTATTTTTATACAGATTGTGTATTCTAGCTCATACTTTTTAAAAAAGCAATATATATTGCAGACTATTCTATATCTTATCATATAGAATGCCCTCATTCTTTTTGCCTAGATGTATATTTCTAACCTCCCAGTGCTGTGGTTTTCTCATCTCTAAAATAGGGGTATAGTATTGAACAATTCATGAGGTTAAAAGGATTGAGTGAAATTGTATATGTAAAGTACCTGGCAGTTGTCTGGCACTTAGTAAGTGTTCAATGAATATTTGTTATTACTAATTGTTACACAACTGGTAGTGTAGTAAAAAACTAATTATATCAAATATGGGAATTCTAAAATATTTCTATAAAGAAACCTTTGATCCTTAAAAGTACTTGGATGACTGGAACCATGGGTAGCACTAACTTAGAAGATGATGTGTTCCAGGTCTGTAGTGAACAACTCCTGAAATGTACATTGTGATTCTTCACATGTCTTCATTTGGGCCCCTTGAATTTTGTCTGATTTTTCTCTGTTTGGAATAATTTAGATGGTGTTAGGGTCAGGGGACACAGAGAGACCCTAATTTTGCTATGCTCTAAGCACTTGTGCTTTCTCAAAAATTTTTCAAGGGAAATGTGCCCACGGGGCAAAGGGAAGCACGGTGCCTGTTACTGCCTGGGCAGAGTGCTCTGCTAAATTGGATTAGAGCATCTGGACCAAAGAGAGGGAACTAGTGAGTGTGGAGAGCCAGGATTGGGCTGTGGAAGGTCTTGACTTTCTTCCCACTGAGAGGATACAGAATAGAGAGCCCCAAAGAGGAAATTACACCAGTGATGGCTGGTAAAAGTGGGTGGCAGTCACATAGATGTGTTTCCCTCTTCTGGATGGAGTGGGGATGATGGGAGAAAGGCAGAGAGCCAGTACTTTCAATCCGTCTGTTTTTTGGGTAGCCTAGTAAGCCAGTCCTTTATTTTCTGCCTTAGCTCAGTCCCCTCTGCTGCCTTCCCATTCTGAAGCAGCCCCAGTCCCCTGGCCTTGCTACCAAGCCCATGTCCTCCAGCACTTCCTCTGCCTCCAGTGCTGAGAGGTCCATGCCTGTAGGATTTATACTCTACCATCAGTCTTCTGTGTGTAGACAGGGTTGTACATGGCCGTAACTTTAGGAGTCTTGGTATTGAGTGGGTAAAGTGAATCAAAAGCTGAATTTAGTCTTTTAAGTGAGAGGTTTCTCTTTTTGAATAGCTATTTGAATTACACATTCTTGTTTTATAAAATAACTGAGAAAAGTCTATTTTGTTTATTTTAGTTCCTCCTCTTGAAGGTTTTGTAATGAATCGAGTGCAAGGTGATTATTTTGAAACTCTGCTCTATAAGATATTTGTTTCAATAGATGAGCACACTAATGTTGCAGAGGTGAGTGTACCAGCGTCTTGTGAAAGAATTTAACCTCAAGATTATAAGTTAAGTTTGTGTAAAGTAGGTAAAAGTATTTAATGATACAGTTAAAATGTTTTAAAAACTTGTTCATGGGTAGATCATGGACTGTTAATATGCTTTAGTCCTATTCTTGTTATTTTCTGCATATATAAAATTTGGTAAATAACTTTTTATAGGACTTTACAGTCTTGCTCTGGGTAACAACATGAGAGAGGGACCACATATATGACAGTGGCTGCATAAGATTATAATGGAGCTGAGACATTTTCTATGGCCTAGTGACATGCACATAGCACAATGAACTGTTTTTGTGCTGGTTTCTGTCTGTGGATAGTAATGTTGTCAGCTAGACTTGTGCACTTTCCACAGTCTTTCCCCTTTCTAAACCAGTGTTACCGCTGGACCTACCCTTGTGGTTCTTGTTACAATTTTGCAAAATGCCCTTCAGCAGTATCCATTAGCAAACTTTGAAGAAAACAAGTTTCTTACTTTTAGGCACTGGAATGTACAAGGCACCTGTTGGTAGGATGGGGGGGGGGGGGGTTGGGCAGAAAAAAACAAGTAGCCCAAATGATCAGTTATGGAAATCAAGAGCTAAAACACAGGAGCCTGGAGGGGTGGGCAGGTAGGAGGTGGCACGGCTCTTTATCTAGTCCAGTGCCTGGCAATGTGTTTATTCCAGTTAGCCTTCTTTGGAATGGACGGCTCTGCACTCAAAGCTTAAACCAGGCACTTAATTACAAAAAGAAAAGCCAGCTGTAGGGCTTGAACTACAGTTACTCAATTACCCACATGTTTGTGGTGATGCTGGTGTGAACACACCCACTGCACTGCCAGCAGTGCGAAAGTACGGCACACACAGTGACAGTAGGGCTGTGTCATCTAGGTTGGTGTACGTACACTCTGATGTTCACACAAAGACGAAAGTGTCTAATGTCGAATTTCTTAGAATGTACCTGTCTTTAAGTATTGCATGACTGTATAATAAAAGGATTGTAGACTATTTCTTGCTCATGGAAATTTCTTATTTTAAATTAGATAAAATTAAAGAGGAAGGTATCTTAAATTGTTAAGGTCATTACCTGAATTCATACTACTCTAAACATTTTAGAGATATGGAAAGGAGAAAGTTCTGATTTCAAAATTTATTCAGTCTTCCAGATTTTCATAATTTAAAATGTTGCTGATTATAGTTAAAGTGTCTATTGCAACCATGTAATATGCTGATAATTCTAACAATGTAAAACAATTTTTTATTTTCCAGCTTGCAAATGTCCTTGAGATAGACTTATCCCTGGTGAAGGTATATAATTTTTATACTCTTTTTACTTACAGTGTAAATACTGAATGGATTTTATCATATACTAGAGGCCCAGTGCATGAGTTCGTGCACGAGTGGGGTCCCTCAGCTTGGCTGGCGATTGGGGCTAATTGGGGCCGGCTGGCCCGGGGGAAGGACCATGGGAGGTTGGCTGGCTGTGGGAGGTTGGCTGTGGGAGCACACTGACCACCAGGGGGCAGCTCCTACATTGAGCGTCTGCTCCCCTAGTGGTCAGTGCTCATCATAGCGACCGGTCGTTCGGTCGTAACGGTTGCTTAGGCATATATGTATATATTTATCTTGACAAGCTACCAAGAAACAGAGGCAGTGAGATTCTTTTTAGCTGTCAGAGGACGTGTGCAGAGGATGTGCTCACAAGATAGAAAAGAGCAAGATAAGGGCCCCCATGGAGTGAAAAGGAGGGCGCACCCACACTCTTTGCTGAGCAGGAAGCAGGCTGATCGGTGTCTTGTGATGAGATAATTAAAGCAACAGCTCTGATACTGGGGATAGATCTAGGGAGGGCCAGGCCGGAAAATTGGATGCCTTCCCTCTCTGACACATGTGAAGTCAAGGGGACAAACAGGCCTACTGAAAATTGCTTTTTCTACCCGTGGGTGAAAATGCTTGAGGATCACTATAGGTATAGTCTGTGATACTATTTTGTCTACAGAGGTTCTGATGTCGGGTTTATTTTAAATGCTCATTTCCTATTTATTTCTTTCAGAATGCTGTTTCAATGTATTGCCGATTGGGCTTTGCCCATAAGAAGGGACAAGTAATAAATTTGGATCAACTTCATTCATCGTGGAGAAATGTTCCATCTATAAACAGATTAAAGTAACTCATTTATTTAGTATGAGATATTAGAATTTTTATTTGGAAAAAAATGTATAGTCTTACACACTAAAATTTTTACCTATTCACTCTGTCATTTGAGGTGAACTCTATATATTAGTGGTCTTTTAAAAAAATCTTGTGTGTGTGTGTGATGAATTGTTTTTAGAATCTGAAGAAAATTAAGAATCTCCCCAGAAAAAAGCATATACAATATTTCACATATAATTTTAATGGCTTCTTGAATTCCCTGAAGCCTGTCCATGGGTCTTGGTTCAGAATCCTTGTTCTATGAGGCACAGCATTTTGGGGCTACATCTCAATTTCAGACTTGAAAATGACTGGATTTAGATAGGTGTTTATAATTTAAGTACTACATTAGCTACTTTATATCATCATATGATTTTTAAAAGTGAATGATTTCTTCATCAATAGGAGTACATTAGATCCGCAGAGGATGCTGCTGTCCTGGGACGGTGGGGAAAGCAGGAGTCCTGTACAGGAAGCATCGTCGGCTACTGACACTGATACAAACAGTCAGGAGGATCCAGGTCAGCAGTCCCTCAGTTTAATTTGGAGTCTCTCTACAGATACGACGTGTGTCAGCACATACCCCCACAGAGTGGACTCTCTACACCTATTTTATAGTTTTGTTCTAGATTTCACTCATTCAAGATGCCATCTTTGAGTACTTAACAATATGTTGGGCACTGGTCTAGGTCTTTAGGGTATAAAATAGACAAAAATGTAGTACCTTCCTTCTAAGAATTAAGTCTAGGAAGAGAGAAGGCAGTGCAACCACAGAAATCACAATGTGAGAAGTGTTGTAGTGCTTGTGGGAGCAGAGAAGAGCCCTCTTACTGCCTAGAGAGGTTCTGGAAGCCTCAGGGAGAAGATGATACTTGCTGGTGAGTGAGGGGAGGCCATCGCACGGGCTTCCACGAAGGGAGGCAAAGCATGGGGGATGAGTGAGGAGGTTGCGCCTGGTTTTATGTCCAGGGGGAGGGCAGCACAGCATGGTCTCCCAATTCTCCCCCAGTGACTTGTCTGAAGAGATTAGGCTAGTTGGTCTTATTCATCTGGCAGTTATCAAGTCTTGGTTCATTATTGCTTTTCAAAAAATTGACTACAACAGTGAGTGCCTTTAAAATACGTGGGGGTTTTTTTGTTTGTTTTTTTGGTTGTTTATGTTGGAGATAGTACCGGGACCTCTTAGGTTGACAATATTGCTTATACTTAATTATGTACTTTCTGATTATTAAATAAAGGCAAAATGAAATACATTCTTATTCCAAATGATAAGCAAAGTATACTTTTCATTTACTTAATCTTAAATTACAATTTTTTTCCCCAGCTGACACAGCCAGTGTAAGCAGTTTAAGTTTGTCTACAGGATATACAAAGCGTATTGCATTTCTGTTTGACTCAACTCTCACTGCCTTTTTAATGATGGGAAATCTTTCACCAGTAAGTCAAATTCTTGTTCAAATATAAAAATGTTTCAAGTAAAGATTAGATATAAAATAATTCAATGCTCTGTCTTTTTTACAAGTACTAGATTTATTCTTGAAAACATAACTGCCTTTGTTTTATATTCCTTAGAGTAGTATAGTAACTTTTTAGTGATGGTTACGTTTGTAATTAGAAGAATCAGACTCTCACCTCAAGTTTAAATATATTGGAAAGCATAATCTTCTATAATAATAAAAGTGTAATACGCAAATTAGACCAGATGTCCTTCTGGGCGACCTACCGGACAAAGTCCGGGAGGCGAGGGAAGCCCAGATGCCTGCCAGTGGCCAGAGGGAATCCCGGGACTCGGGTGCCTGCTGGTGGCTAGACGGAAACCGGGTCCCGGTTCCAGAGGGAAGTTGGTGCCAGCAGCCAGGGGAAGGAAGGCCTACTCTTGCATGAATTTCGTGCATTGGGCCTCTAGTCCTATCTAATAATAGACAGACAGGGTAATTGACCGTACCTTCGCTACGCCTCCCATGGGCTAATCAGCACGATATGCAAATTAACCGCCAACAAAGATGGCACTTAATTTGCATACATAGGCTCCAAGCGGCGGAGCGAAGACTGAAGGTGAGCTGGAACCACAAAGATGGCTCCGGCCGGGGCCGCGAAGACAGAGGACGGAAGGCGGCTCCGGCCGGAGGGAAGGCCTGGGTCCCGGGTGCCAGAGGAAAACCGGTGCCGGCAGCCAGGAGAAGGGAAGGCCTATTGCACGAATCTCTTCGTGCAACAGGCCTCTAGTGCTATCTAATAAAGAGGGAATATGCTAATTGACCCTCACACTGTTGCAAAGATGGCGGCGCCCACAGCCAATAAGGAGGGAATATGCTAATTGACTGCCCCCCTCAAAGATGGTGGCACCCACAGCCAATAAGGAGGGAATATGCTAATTGACTGCCACGCCCTCAAAGATGGCAGCTCCCACAGCCACAAGATGGTGGTGCCCAGTCCCCTCACACCCGCCCCCAGGCAGGCCCGGCCTTGCCACGTGCCTGCTTCCGGGGTCCCCCAATCCCCTCAGCTCCCAGCCGCCCAGGGCAGGCCTGAGGTGCAGGTAACCAGGGCTGGCTGAGGCTTGTGCTGCCGGCAGTGGCAGCAGCAGAGGTGTGATGGGGGCGCTGCCTTCCCCTGATCTCTGGGTCGCCTCCTGCCCCTGAGGGCTCCCAGACTGTGAGAGGGGGCAGGCCAGGCTGAGGGACCCCCCTCCAGAGCATGAATTTTCATGCACCGGGCCTCTAGTATAAATATTGGATGCTATGCGCAGCATAAAATGGGAAAACTAGAACTTGAGTGACTTGTATAAGGCACTGAAATACATTTTAGTGTTTTTGTTTTTGCTTTATTGCAGAACTTGAAAAGCCATGCAGTCACCATGTTCGAAGTTGGCAAACTCTCAGATGAGTCTCTGGACAGCTTTCTTATAGAACTGGAAAAGGTAAGTCTAGATTGCTGACTATGGGCTCTCAGGGCATTTGGAACATTTTTTTGCTTGTTATTGATTTATGTAGATTTTTGGTATATTCTTGCTTGTTCCAACCTCATTTCCCACCTGAACACTGTGGTAGTCATTGAGATTTAAACATATTGAGTAGATGAATACATTTTGTGATTTTAAAAATGATTTGTCTATCTCATTTAATGGCATAATTTGATATAAAGAAGAAATAGGGTATAGAAATCTTAGTCTGGTGTAGTTTTTTACACTGCATTCTTCTAAAATAGCCTTTATGTATGTATGTATGTATGTGGGACTCTCTGAAATCTCTTAAACAATTTCATTTGAAGTTTTTTCCCACCTATTTTAAATTTGGAACAATGTTTCTGGGTATCATGCCGTACAGGGTGGGGCAAAAGTAGGTTTACAGTTGTTCATGTGGCAAATAATACAATCCTATCTAATAAAAGCGAAACATGGTAATTAGCGTACGACCACTACCCTTCCCATTGCCTAATCAGGGCGATATGCAAATTAACTGCCAGCCAAGATGGCGGCCAGCAGCCAGGCAGCTGGAAGCGAACATGAGGCTTGCTTGCTTCAGTGATGGAGGACTCCAACGTTCCCTGCCTGCCACTGCCGGCCTCTGAGCTGCAATTCTAAGCAACTGTGTTACAAATATAGAAGCTAAACAAAACCCCAGAAACCTGCTTTAGTCGCCGGGCTTCAGCCAGCAGGATTGCAACATTGTTTCAAATACAGAAGGTAAACAAAGGCCAGAAACCTGCTTTCAGCAGCGGAGGCCTAAGAGCTGGAGCCTCAGAGCTAAAGCTGGCCCAGAATAAAAAAAAAAAAAGAAAAAAAGGAGCGGTTGGGAGCTTCAGTCACCTGCCAGCCTGAAAACAGCCTCAGCCCCTCACCCAGACTGGCCAGGCACCCCAGTGGGGACCCCCACCCTGAAGGGTGTGTGACCAGCTGCAAACAGCCATCATCCCCTCACCCAGGTTGGCCAGGCACCCCAGTGGGGACCCCCACCCTGATCCAGGACACCCTTCAGGGCAAACCAGCCGGCCCCCACCCGTGCACCAGGCCTCAATCCTATATAGTAAAAGGGTAATATGCCTCCCAGCACCGGGACCAGCGGAGCCGCGAAGCCTCCCGGCACCGGGATCAGCGTGACAGGGGGCAGCGCCCAAACCCCCTGATCGGCCCTGCTCTGTGCCTGATAGGGGGGAGCTCCCCAACCCCCTGACCGGCCCTGCTCTGTGTGTGACAGGGTGCGGCGCCCCCCCCCCCCCCCAACGGGCCCTGCTCTGTGTGTGACGTGGTAGAGCCATAACCTCCCCATCGGCCCTGCCCTGAGTGTGACAGTGGCAGTGCCCCAATCCCCTGATCGGCCCTGCTCTGTGGGTGATAGAGGGCGATGCCCCAACCGCCCCCCACGGGCCCTGCTCTGTGTGTGACGGGGTAGAGCCATAACCTCCCCATCGGCCCTGCCCTGAGTGTGACGGTGGGGCACCCGAACCCCCTGATCCGCCCTGCTCTGTGTGTGAGAGGGGGCGGTGTCCCAACTCCCCTATCGGCCCTACTCTGTGAGTGACGGGGGAGCTCCCCAACCCCCTGATGGGCCCTGCTCTGTGTGTGACGGGGGAGCTCCCCAACCCCCTGATGGGCCCTGCTCTGTGCGTGACAGTGGGTGGCGCTGCAACCTCCCCATCAACCCTGCCTTGAGTGTAACAGGGCGGTGCCCCAACCCCCCAATCAGCCCTACCCTGAGTGTGACTGAGGGTGGCATCGCAACCTCCCAATCTGCCCTGCTCTGTGCATGACAGGGGCAGCGCCCCAACTCCCCAATCAGCCCTGCTCTGAGCCCGACCAGGGGCTGCACCTAGGGATTGGGCCTGCCCTCTGCCACCCGGGAGCAGGCCTAAGCCAGCAGGTCGTTATCTCCCGAGGGGTCCCAGACTGCGAGAGGGCACAGGCCGGGCTGAGGGGCCCCCCCTTCCCCCCGAGTGCACAAATTTTTGTGCACCAGGCCTCTAGTCCTATATAATAAAAGCCTAATATGCTAAGTGTGCAGTCGTCCGGTTGTCCTTTCAACCAATCAAAGTGTAATATGCTAATGATATGCTGAGGACCCTCAACCGCTTGATATGACGTGCACTGACCACCAGGGGGCAGATGCTCTGACTGGTAGGTTAGCCTGCTGCTGGGGTCTGGCCAATCGGGACTGAGTGAGATGGGCCGGACATGCCCTGGAGTCCTCCGGCGATCCCTCCCCAGCTGGCCAACCTCTTGCATCCCTCCATGGCCCCAATTGTACACTGGTGGGGTCCCATGGCCTGGCCTGCGCCCTCTCACAATCTGGGACTCCTCGGGGGATATCGGAGAGCTGGTTTTGTCCTGACGGTGGATTGACTGGTTGCTATGACACGAACTGACTATCAGAGGGTGGACGCTCAATGCAGGAGCTGCCCCCTGGTGGTCAGTGTGCTCCCACAGGGGGAGCGCCACTTAGCCAGAAGCCGGGCTCATGGCTGGTGAGCGCAGCGGTGGTGGCGGGAGCCTCTCCCATCTCCGTGGCAGTGCTAAGGATGTATGACTGCTGGCCTAGGCCCGCTCCCTACCTAAGTTGGCAGTCGGACATCCCCCAAGGGCTCCCAGATTGTGAGAGGACGCAGACCAGGCTGAGGTACCCGCCCCACTGAGTGCATGAATTTTCTGCACCAGGCCTCTAGTAATTAATAAATAAGAATATAAGAATAAACTGTGTTTCATGTACTCACAACTGTAAACCTACTTTAGCCCCACCCTGTATTTGCTCTTAACCACTTTTTTTCCTACGAGGACAGCACTGATTTCCCTGAGCTCTAAATCTTTATTGCTCTTCTGTTTTCATGCTCTGGATATTTTATTCTGTCTTCTGCTCTTAATGCAAAAAGTTTGTGTACCTGATCTGTTTCTTGACTAGTAATTGTGGTACCTTTTGTGCTTTAGTGATGAACGCTGTGTATTAAATGGGCTGTTTAGAGAATTTTTGATGAACATGCATTGAAATGTAAGCCCAGTCAAGGCAAGGGCTTTGTTCAGCATTCTGTTCTCACATCTTAGACAGGTCATAGCACATAGCACATAAGAGGGACTCAGTAAATCCTTGTTGAATGAATTTAAGTTGTATTTTCAGCAATGATGAACAGCTATGTTGAGTCACATACCTATTGTCCCTTGTAATGAGTGATACAAAATTGTGAAGAGGGTGATGAGAATTAGAGGCACAATTGGTGACTGTGGATTGGAGTACTTTCCTGGATGAAGCCAAATGTATATCTTAGAGGTTTTTAAGTACCCTATTTGAATCATACATAGGACATACAATTTATATAATGCTATGATTTAGCATTATTAGCTTGCTAAAGTTGTTAGTTTTACTTGTTGGGGTAATTCTGTTCTCATGAAAGATGTTGTCAAATGGAAAATTAGTAGAGATTGAGGTTAATATTTGTTTCAGTATTGTCTGGGAAAAATTTTTATTTAATAATTTTTAATAATATCTTTTTTTTTCCTTAATTTTTTTTAACTTAAATCTTTATTGTTCAGATTATTACATTTGTTCTCTTTTTTCCCCCCATAATTCCCCTCCTCCCAGTTCCCACCCCACCCTTCGCCCTCACTCCCCACCCACTGTCCTCATCCATAGGTGCACGATTTTTGTCCAGTCTCTTCCTGCTTCTCCCACACCCCTTTCCCCCCCAAGAATAGTCAGTCCATTCCCTTTCTATGTCCCTGATTCTATTATAATCACCAGTTCATTCTGTACATCAGATTATTTATTCACTTGATTCTTAGATTCACTTGTTGATAGATGCATATTTGTTGTTCATAATTTGTATCTTTACCTTTTTCTTCTTCTTCCTCTTCTTAAAGGATACCTTTCATCATTTCATATAATACTGGTTTGGTGGTGATGAACTCCTTTAGCTTTTCCTTATCTGTGAAGCTCTTTATCTGACCTTCAATTCTGAATGATAGCTTTGCTGGATAAAGTAATCTTGGTTGTAGGTTCTTGGTATTCATCACTTTGAATATTTCTTTCCATTCCCTTCTGGCCTGCAAAGTTTCTGTTGAGAAATCAGCTGACAGTCGTATGGGTATTCCCTTGTAGGTAACTGAGTTTCTTTCTCTTGCTGCTTTTAGGATTTTCTCTTTGTCTTTTGCTCTTGGCATTTTAATGATGATGTGTCTTGGTGTGGTCCTCTTTGGATTCCTTTTGTTTGGGGTTCTCTGCGCTTCCTGGACCTGTAAGTCTATTTCTTTCACCAGGTGGGGGAAGTTTTCTGTCATTATTTCTTCAAATAGGTTTTCAATATCTTGCTCTCTCTCATCTTCTGGCACCCCTATAATTCTGATGTTGGTACGCTTGAAGCTGTCCCAGAGGCTCCTTACACTATCTTCGTATTTTCGGATTCTTTTTTCATTTTGCTTTTCCGGTTGGGTGTTTTTTGCTTCTTCGCTTTTCAAATCTTTGACTTGATTCTTGCACTCCTCTGGTCTGCTGTCGGGTGTCTGTATAATATTCTTTATTTCAGTCAGTGTCTGCTTAATTTCTAGTTGGTTCTTTATCACAACATCGAGGGTCTCATTAGATTTCTTGTAGATCTCATTAAGTTTATCGGCAGTTTCTAAAAAATTATTGAAAAGACCTTAAAAGTGCGGTTTTGAGCTCTATATCCTCCATTTCTGTCATGTTTCTTTGTCTCCGCATTTTTTATGCTTTCTTGGTGCATCCCCTTGTGGTCTTTGTGTGCAGTCTTGTTGTAGTTAAGCCTTGATTGTTGTCAGTAATACTTGGGGTGATTTGACCTCCAGGCTAACGGCTATGAGAATCAGCTGTGTCTGCAGTGGGAGAACTTCTGTGCTGGATATAGTTACTAGAGGCCCAGTGCATGAAATTTGTGCACTTGGGGGGGGGAGGGCGTCCCTCAGTCCGACCTGCGCCTCTTGCAGTCTGGGAGCCCTTGGGGGATGTCCAACTGCTGCGGAGGCAGGAGAGGCTCCTAGCACCACCACTGCGCTTGCCAGCCGTGAGCCTGACTCAGGGCTTCTGGCTGAGCAGCGCTTCCCCTGTGGGAGTGCACTGACCATCAGGGGGAAGCTCCTGCATTGAGCGTCTGCCCCCTGGTGGTCAGTGTGCATCATAGCAATCCATTGTTCTGCTGTTCGGTTGATTTGTATATTAGCCTTTTATATAGGATATATTAGAACGAATGGTATAAGAATGATATTTGTTGGAACTTTTATTTTCTCTTGGTTTAGGTTCAGAGCACTGGTGAAGGAGAAGCACAGAGATATTTTGACCATGCACTTACTCTGAGAAACACGATACTATTTCTTCGTCACAATAAAGATCTAGTTGCACAAACCGCACAGCCAGACCAGCCCAATTACGGTATGAGTTTTATACTTGATTTTGAAGACATGATCCTATGGAAGTTCTTTCTAAGAAATTAAATAGGTCATGCCCACTTATTTAATCATCATTTACTTAATACATTTTTGTAAGTATAATGAACTTATAGCTGGAGGCTTGTCATGTGAATTTCTTTGCTTGTCAACTGTTTCTTATCTTATTCTACTATTTCTCCTCTATGTGCAACTGACATTTGTAGTATTTAAATCTGATGAGTACCTACAAACAGGGTTGGAGTGTCAATTTGTTTAAGTAGCTGAGTGGAATTTGGAACAGGCATGGGTTCTGAGGGGTGGACAGGTGCAAAATTGAGTTAAATATATTATGAAGCATAAAATTTCAAGAATGAAAGATTCCATTGCATTAAAAACAATAAATAAGAGTTTCTTATTCAAATGCTGCTGGAATGCTTATTTACTGAAGTACTTTACTTTAAAAAATAGACTGGGAACAGAACCCTTTTTTAAAGAGAAAGAGAAAGTGGTGGCAATTTTAATGTATTGGCGAACTCCCGGTTGCTGTTGCCTTAGGGTGCACTCTCAGTTTTGTGATAGGCAGGGAGTGTTCCCCAACCAGAGTTGAACTGATGGTATCAGGATTTCAGATTCTGATTCAGTAGGTTCTGCATTGTGGAATGGCACCCAGGAATGTGTGTTTTTAAAAGGTGGAATGGCCTGAGCACCAATGTAAGAGCATTTGGCTCAAGTCCTTGGACATTCAGAGGAGTTGCATCTTAGGACTCCGTGAATTCTTAGCACCACAGGAACATTTAATTTCACTCATTTTTTCAAATCCGTAACCTTTTTTTTTTTTTTTATCTTTTATGACATTCCTCTATTTTGAGAAAATAGTCCCTTTTTTTTTTCTTTAAAGATAGAATATTAAAAGTTCCAAATGTCCTAAGGGACCACTAAGAAGACACTTTTAAGATTTAAAGCTAATAGTCTTTATTCCTGGGCCAAAGATAACTGTCTACTGGTGTTTCTTTAGGCCACCTTTTACTTTTTAAAAAGTGCTTGCTTTGCCATTCTTCCTCTCCATCCCCAGCCACCCCGGGCAATGGCATGATGAAAGCCCGAGTACCACAGGAAAGCTGTGTCCTTCCCTCCCCCAATTCCCGATCTCTACAAACAGCATCTCAGCCGAGTTCTGAATTTAGTTTAGGAACAGGAGTTCCGCACTTAGATATATGTGCCTAAACCGCTGGTCCATAAAGGTAGGTAATCAGTATTTTGTCTTGGACATTTTTGTTTCATATTGTCAGTCTTTTATTCTCTGTGTGTGCTTGATCACAATTCAGGTTTTCCTCTGGATCTCTTACGCTGTGAAAGCCTTCTTGGTTTGGACCCTGCAACTTGCAGCAGAGTTCTAAACAAAAATTATTCACTACTTGTTTCCATGGCTCCTCTCACCAATGAAATTCGGCCTATTAGCAGCTGCACCCCTCAGGTAAAGACCCACTTGGGAGAAGGCCGGTGCTGTCACTTCATTCGTACTCGTGGTGACTTGAAAAAGAGGTTTAACAGTCTTACAGGGTTAATTCTCAGTTTGCAGATACCAGATTCAAATTGCTGACTCAGAAAGCAGTTTTGTATTTTATGCTGTTGTAAGATGTTATGTTCAATTTGTGAGGTATAATCGGTACATTTTATTTATCTATCATCTGGTGACTTGCGACACAGCAGATTAATGTTTTCTTCTTGAATGCAGTCTTTTAAAGAGAATATTTTGGAGGCTTTGAGAGGGGAGTCTGGATTGCCTTGAGGAATAAGATAATTTTAAATAGGAAAAATGAAATGCTATAGAAATGGGGTTATGATTCTGACTAAATGGAAAAGAAACAATTGTACTGGAAAGGAAGTAGAACTTTGGTTATCTTTAAAATTTACTTGTGACTTCCAGCTTTTACTTTTAAAAAATAAATCATTTCTGTGGATTTGTATACTTAGCAAGGGCATTGTGGTCTGTACCATTTTCAAAGAGTGGGGATTGTGTTACTCTTTTTCAGTGTTACATCCTGCTGTGCAAGGTTTAATGGTGTAGAAGAAAGGAAGGGATTCTTTTAAGGGGTGATTTTGTTGCCTGTGCTGATCTAGCTGCCCCAGTGAGCACACCCTCCCCCCACATTTGTTCTCCGTTCAACTGGAGTGGTTATAGGTTTGCGTTCAGCAACCTTTTTTATAATTCTTTGTGTGCTACCTCCAGTACCACTCCACTCCACACTCCTATTCTGTAATGCAACCTCTAGACATAATAGTTCATGAACTGTAAATGAATGGGAGGACAGTCCCTTTTGGGAGAAATTGCATGTGATTAATAATCATAATGACAAACATTTTTATATAAAGCTTACTATATACCAGGTACTATTTTCAACTTTTTAAACAACCCTACAATGTCCGTATGAGGTAGATGTTTTATTGCTACCTTACAAAAGAGCAAAATGAGGGAATAGAGAGCCTTAAGTAATGTTAGAGGTGATATGGCTGAGGGGATGAAGGCCAGATTCAGACCTTGGTGGTCCTTCAAAGTCCATCCTCTAACTGCAGTGATAAGATGTGCTTTCTCAGTTCCAGCACAAAAGAGAAACTATTTGAACAGAGAATTTAAAAGTTATTTTCATAAGGATAATAGCAATTAACATTTATATGAGGAATTAGCTTTTAATATGAGTATACTTGGTTACTTAGGAAATTTGGCTTTTTTAGCTAAGTATTACAGCTTTACCTTACCTGCTTTTTTGTTACAGCATATTGGACCAGCTATCCCGGAAGTCAGTTCTGTCTGGTTTAAACTGTACATTTACCATGTCACTGGGCAGGGACCACCATCTCTTTTGCTGTCCAAAGGTACAAGACTTCGAAAACTGCCAGATATTTTCCAGGTATGTTGTGTGAGATTTGTTTGTTTTAATTACTTTGGGGGAAGATATTAATAATGTCTTAATATCTCTATTATATAGTTATATATTAGAATAGTTATATATTAGAAATTAATAAGTGGCATTATAGATAACTTAATTTTTTGTCCATATTTCTGAGCGCCATTTTATCTCATTCATTTCTCTCCCATAGGGTTACGATCGATTACTGATAACATCTTGGGGGCATGATCCTGGGGTAGTCCCTACATCCAATGTGCTCACCATGCTGAATGATGCTTTAACACACTCGGCGGTTTTGATTCAGGTACAGTTACTTTATTGGAATCAATCCATTTTGGATTTTTCTTTTAAAGATTGTACTTTGTCTATCTTTCTGCTGAATTGCAATCAGATGTCAGTAATTTGAAATTTGTGAAGCTGAAACATAAGGAATCAGATCTAGGTTTCAGTCCTGGCCTTTGGCTGGCAGTGCAACATGGACTTTGAAGTTAGACTCAGCTTTGAATTCTAGCTTCACCTTTTGTTACCCTTGTGGCTGTATTTTTTTCTTTTAGGAATAGCTTTATGAAGATATAATTCATATAGCATACAATTCAACAATTTAAATTGTACAGTTCATTGTTTTTTTTAGTATACATTAGTTCTCCTTTTGCGTGGTTCCACTTTCTGTGGCTTCAATTACCCAGGGTCTGCCATGGTCTGAAAATATTAAATGGGAAATTCCAGAAATGAAATAATTCATAGATTTAAATTGCATGCCATTCTGAGTAGTGTGATGAAATCTCGAGTGGTCCTGCTCCATCCCTCATGGGGAGTGCATCATCCCTTTGTCCAGCATATCTACACTTGTGTATGCTCCTGCCTGCAGCCACTTAGTAGCTGACTTGGTTATCAGAGAGAGGGGGGGAGAGAGAACATTCACGTAACTTTTATTACAATATATTGTTGTAATCAATTTTATTACTAGTTATTGTTAGTCTCTTACTGGGCCTAATTTATAAATTAAACTCTATCGTAGGTCTGTATGTATAAATAGGAAAAAAAACATAATCTACGTAGAGTTCAATACCATCCTCGGTTTCAGGTATCCACTAGTGGTCTTGGAATGTATCCCCCATGAATAAGGCAGACTACTGTAGTCACACATATCTTCAGCCATCACCATACTCAATTTTATTTTATTAATAATTTTTATTGATTTTTAGAGAGAAAGGAAGGGAGAGGGAGAGAGAAACATTGATCAGCTGCCCCTGCACACCCCCTACTGGGGATCAAGCCCGAAATCCTGGCATGTGCTCTGACCAGAAATTGAATGGGCGACCTCTCTGTTCATGGGACAACTCTCAACTCACTGAGCCACACAAGCCAAGGCCACCATATTCAGTTTTAGAACATTTTCATCATCTCAAAAAATCTGCACCTTTAGTCTCACTCCCCTATTCTCCCAGCCCCCACACCCTAAACACTACTAATCTACTTCCTCTCTCTAGAGCAGTGGTTCTCAACCTTCCTAATGCCGCGACCCTTTAATACAGTTCCTCATGTTGTGGTGACCCCCAACCATAAAATTATTATTTTTTTAAATACTTGTGAACTTTATATATATATATATATATATATATATATATATATTTTATTGATTTTTTACAGAGAGGAAGGGAGAGAGATAGAGAGTTAGAAACATCAATGAGAGAGAAGCATCGATCAGCTGCCTCCTGCACATCTCCCACTGGGGATGTGCCCGCAACCCAGATACATGCCCTTGACCGGAATTGAACCTGGGACCGATGCTCTATCTGCTGAGCCAAACCGGTTTCAGCCATAAAATTATTTTTGTTGCTACTTCATAACTGTAATTTTGCTACTGTAAACAATATGTAATTATATATGTGTTTTCCGATGGTCTTAGGCGACCCCTGTGAAAGGGTCGTTTGACCCCCAAAGGGGTCACGACCCACAGGTTGAGAATGGCTGCTCTAGAGCCTATTCCTGGCATTTCATATACATGAAATTATATAATATGTGGTCTTTAGGGACCAACACTTGATCTCATTCAGTCTCCACTTGGCTGACACCTGAGTTACCTGTTAAATTAGCCTCCTTTTTAAAATTTAGCCCATGCACTCAATTTGAGACACATTACCTTATAGATTCATTTATACTTTAGATCCGGGGTCCTCAAACTACGGCCCGCGGGCCACATGCAAATACAAATACTGTATATGTTCCCATTTTGTTTTTTACTTCAAAATAAGATATGTGCAGTGTGCATAGGAATTTGTTCATTGTTTTTTTTTAAAACTATAGTCCGGCCCTCCAACGGTCTGAGGGACAGTGAACTGGCCCCCTGTTTAAAAAGTTTGAGGACCCCTGCTTTATTTTTTTTTATTTATTTTTTTTTTATTTTTATTTTTTTTTATTGCTTAAAGTATTACAAAGGGTATTACATATGTGTCCATTTTATCCCCCCGCCCTAGACAGTCCCCTAGCCTCCCCTATCCCCCAATGTCTTATGTCCACTGGTTATGCTTATATGCATGCATACAAGTCCTTTAGTTGATCTCTTACCCCCCTACCTCCTGCCCCGCAACCCTCCCCGGCCTTCCTGCTGCAGTTTGACAATCTGTTTGAGGCAGCTCTGCCTCTGTATCTATTATTGTTCAAAAGTTTATAATGGTCTCTATTGGAGGACCCCTGCTTTAGATTGCCTTTGCTTGCTGTAGAAAAATAGAAAATTGTTTAAAGCACTTTGATGGAGTATTAAGGTAGAATATACCACCATGTGGCACAGTCTTATTTGGTGCTTTAATAGCTATTGTTGGAAATGTCGTTTTCTCATACACCTTTCAACTTGTGTGTCTTCACGTTTAGGGACATGGCTTCCACGGGACAGGAGAAACTGTCCACATACCATTTCCATTTGATGAGACAGAACTACAAGGAGGTACCTCACTTCTGATTTGTATCTATTTCATTTCTTTATCACTAATCTTTGTCACCAATTTGGTGGAAAACATAGCAGGAAGTGAATGCTTAAAATTTTGAAGTTCTAGGGTGTTACCATTTTGTTTTTAAAGAGTATTGGCAAAAGGTAGTTTTCTGTCATATGCCTTTTCCCACAAAGAACCGATAGTGTAAGACAGACTTAGGACCTTTGGAGGAATACGAGTCTGTCTTGGAGATGAAGAGAATACATAGGCGTCTGCCCAGATGGAAGACTAGGTTTTCTGTATGTTTAGTCTTTCAGTTTCTTTTTATTGCTTATTATTTGAAGCAAGTCATAGGGAAGATTTTATGCTTAGAAAGATGTTTAGAAAGTTGGTCACCCCCAATGTTACACACTGGTTTTCTTTTAGGGGCTTTTTTAGTTATTGTAGAAATGAGTCCTAATAAACGTTTGTCTCCTACTTCACACTTTACAGAGCACTTGCATGTATTTCTTGTCTCAGCATTTTTATTTATAATAAATTTTTTTTTGCTGTTAAATTTTATTTTTGCTGATGAGAGGATTTGAGTGGATTGCAGTTTGAGCTAAATTAGCTGGTTAGCACCAAGGGGAAAGCCCTGGTTAATGTTGGCTCCTGGATTTGGCTGTGCAGTCTCATAGTTGATAAAGATGCAGAGAAGTTCTGTAACAGCCAGTTCATTCTTCCTTTTGTCTAATAGAGAAGATACCTTTTCATTGTTGAATATTAAGAAAATATGTACATTCAGAAGAAAAAATACTATCTGATTAAAACTTTGCATATATTTACATAGCACTTAAGTTTCCTGCTCTATGTAAAACTGCTGTTCTGTAATCTATTTTTCTGATTTTTAGAGTCTTATTGCTTGGAATTCAAGAGAGCAGTGAATGGTTCAAGTAATTTAACCGAAGTTATCCCATATAAGAACTTACTGTTCTTTCAAAATGTTGCTCACCACTGCCCTTGCCCCCTAAAGCAAGGAAAGGCAGAGGATTTTTACAGATATCGTCTCCTTTTCGCATGGCCAGACTGGGGGAGCCTCATGTTTGAAATTAAGTGCTCTGTTTTGGCTGTTGTAAGTGTGTAAAAAATGTGGGGAAGAGAGGACTCAAAATAGCCATTTTTTCAGAAATAAGTACTTGTCTGCAACTAAACTGTGCTACTTAATCCTCTGGTACTTTATAAATTCTGTGGGGGAAAATGTTCACCTGAGGATACAGGGTAGTGACCACAGGAATTAAAATGTAGAAAATCTCAAGAACTAATTGGTAGTTCTCTTGCCTTGGGAGATTATTGTGAATTATAAAAAAGAGAAATCTCCATATTTGGATATAGAGCATCTTTCTCTTTTGTAAGTTCACAGGTAAGAACTTGAGTTAAAACTTAAATAATTCATTAGGACATAATTTCAAGTATATTAGCTTTAATTTCAAAAATATGTATATTTAATAAATTTCCTGGTAGAAGCCCACCAAGTATTTGAGGCAGAATAGAAGCACAAATAGACGCCTAGAGAATTTACCACTGACTATTTGCTTCTGTTATACCAAATACCTCCTGAAGGCTATAAACATGTTATATGTATATAATATCCTTTTATGTTCACAGATATTTCTTCATTGGAATCAATCTTGATAGATTAAAGTATAAAAGTAATTCTAAGAATTGTTTAATAAAAATATTTTTAAGTTTTTCATGCTGTATTATTTTACAAAACTATTCATTTATAATTTGATGTCAACTCTTTGTTCTTAGAGTTTACTCGTGTCAATATGGGTGTTCATAAAGCATTGGAAATATTAAGGACTAAGGTGGACTTGCAGCATTTTTGTGGCTATGTCACCATGTTGAATGCTTCGAGCCAACTTGCAAGCAGAAAACTCAGTGATTCTTCTGATGAGAGAGGTTAGCCAATAGTTGGGTTTTGAATTAAAGATTATTTGGTATTGAGTTAATTACAACCTAATTATTTAAAAAGCACGGCGACTTTTGTAGGGATGTTGAATTATTTAACTCTTAATGCTTTTTCACTGACATATGAGAAAATACTCTGTGACATCATTTGGACAAGGATCAGTTGTTTAAATGGAGGAAATATTAAGTGCATAACTACAGAAGTGATGACCTGGGTGGGGTTGGGATACAGAAAGGTTATCAGGTTTTAGCCCTTTACTGTCATATCTATGTTTATAGGCTTTAAATTAACTTCCTTTATGGGGTGATGGTTTCAAAGTTTTAGTGTCTTTGTAACGATGTCTCCAGTGCTTCCCTTTTGACCTTTCTCTTTCTGTGATGAAGGCACTGTTGTCTCAGTTACCCAGGCCAGAGTCCTATCGCCGTCATCCTTCTCCTTTTCTGCACTGTCCAGTTGTTTCCAAGTTCTGTGAATTAATGGTTGGAAAAGTCTCTCATATCCGTTTCTTCCCTTCTCTTTTTATTCTCTGTAACTGCTGTTCTAGTCTGAGTCCTGGTCCTTGAAGCAATCATTGTCTGCTTAGCTTTCCTGGCCTCATTCTCTTTCTTTCTATCTCCAGTCTATCCTGCATATTGATGATGGCTAGTTTTCCTTCGATATCTTTTTCTTTCTTCTTCTTTTTTTTTTTTAATCCTCACCCAAGGATATTTTTCTTCTGATTTGTAGAGAGAGTGGAAGAGAGAAGGAAAAACAGAGAGACATAGCGATGTGAGAGAATACATCGATGGGTTGCCTCCTGCATGAGCCCCGACCTGGGCTTGGTCCGGGGAGAAGCCTGCAACTGAGATACATGCCCTTGACCAGAATTGAACCCGGGACCCTTTGGACCGCAGGCCGACGCTGTATCCACTGAGCCAAACCAGCTAGGGCCTCTTTTTCTTTCTTTTTAATTTAAAATTTTATTTTCCAATTACCTTTTCATGCTTACTAATTGTTTCTGCTCTGTCCTAATTCTGGCTTGTAATGTGGCTGTGGTTGCCATGGTGCCAGCTCTGGTCTTTGACTCCAAGGAAACATTTCAGTTCAATTGTCTGTCGTCAATTGACTACTCCTTGAGCCTCTTATGTTGAAATCCTGAGAAAATAATTATTGCTAGCCATCCAGTGTCTTGGATTGGCTCCCTTTGAGTTAGGTATCTGTTTGTGGTCCATTTACCTTTGGCCAGAGGATTTGGGTAACTTTTGATTTTTGACATAGCAGGTTTTTTATATTTATTATTGCTGTGTAATAGGCAGTTTTCAACAGTTAACTGCCAAGTATCACAGGAGCATTTTCCAGAGAAGAAGGCTATGGAGTTAAGCAGTCATTTCAAAGCATGTCTGCTACTGCTGCCATGTTTTATTTCATTCATTCCACAAACATTTACGGACTGTCTGCTTAGATGCTGGAGACATTTAAATTTGTAAGACCTGAGGAATTATACCCTAGAAAGGGAGAAAGCAAGTGAACCAGGCTGCTGTGCTGTGTTAAGACACTGGGATAGGGCTCTGCCTTAGCTTGCAGTGCTGAAATAGGACGGCTGAGCTATCAGAGAAGGCCTCTTATGGAAAGGAAAGTTTGGACTGAATTTTGAATAATGAGGAGTTATCTACACAAAAGATAATTGTTGTTTATGTGGAAGGTAGCTGCCTTTCAGGCAGAGGGAATCAGGGAATAGAGTAGCTTGTGGCAGCCAAAAGAAAGGATCTATTGGGCAGAAGTAGATGAGAGTAGAGAAGTAGATGCAGTAGAGAAGTAGGTGAGCTCTAAGGAGCATCTTCAGTGCTGAAAGATAGGGAAGTCAAAAAGACTTTTGAAGAGGAATGATGTAATCAGACTGCATATTTCCATGGGGTAGAAATGACTTTAGTAGTGAGCTTACTGATAGTCTAAACTTCTCTTCTGCCATTTGAATCCTTGTTTTTACAACCTTAGCACTATTTACGTTCTGAGCTTTGTTGTGGGGCTGCTCTGTGCACTGCAGTATGGTTAGCATCCTTAAATATCAGTGGCATCCCTGTTCCCATTCATGACAACAAAACCTGTCTCCAAACATTGCCTAGTGTCCCTTGGGCGACAAAATTATCCCCCAGTTGAGAACTACTGTTTTAAGGTTAAGGACTATTCATTGTTTTCCATTGCCATTTCTGTTGCCTGAATCCACTTTTATGTTAGAACTGATTTATTGACAACTTATACCAACTATTAGAATCTTAATATTTGTGTTTGTCCTTAAATTACAAGGTGAACCTGATTTGGCTTCTGGCTCAGATGTAAATGGAAGTACAGAGTCGTTTGAAATGGTCATTGAGGAGGCAACTACAGATTTAGCAACTAAGCAAAACTCTGGTAAGGTTTTAAAAATTATTTGCAGTCTTCTAAAAAATACATTTTTATTGATTTCAGAGAGGAAGGGAGGGGGAAAGTGATAGAAACATCAATGATGAGAGAGAATCATTGATCGGTTGCCTCCTGCCTGCCCCCTACTGGGGATCGAGCCTGAAACTCGGATATGTGCCCTTAACTGAAATCAAACCTGGGACCCTCCAGTCCACACTCTATCCACTGAGCCATACCAGCCAGGGCTTAACTTTTTTGTTAAGTCATCTGGATGTCATTTGTCCATAAAGGACCTTGTAATAAGAATTTTCTAGCAAACATTTTTGTATATTTAGAATAGTCAAATATTATTAAAATATTATTAAAATACTAGAGGCCCATTGCATGAAGAGATTCGTGCAATAGGCCTCCCCTTCTCCTGGCTGCGGACACCGGTTTTCCTCCGGCACCTGGGACCCAGGCCTTGGTTCTGGCCGGAGCCTTCAGTCTTTGTGGCTCCGGACGGAGCCTTCAGTCTTCGCTCCACTGCTTCGCCCCTACATATTCAAATTAACTGCCATCTTTGTTGGGTTAATTTGCATACTCTCCTGATTGGCTGGTGAGTGTAGCGGAGGGACAGTTAGTTTACATATTTGTCTATTAGGTAAGATGACCTGAGAATAGTGACTTAAGTTTCGTATTTCCTTTGTTAAATATTTCAGTTAATTCTCTCATTTTGTAGATATCTTGCAATTGGGTAAAAGACCACTTTGAACTGATGAAAACTAGTACCTTCTCCTCAGAAGCATGTACATACATCCTCAAAAAACATTCTTTTCTATTTCAGAGATTCACTGACACTCCTTCCCTCTCCCCCTAGTTCTCTCTCCTGCTCAGCCAATTGGTGTGTGAGAGGAATCTATGAAAATCCATTGACCTCAATTAAGAAACCCTGGTCAGTTATAATATATAAATTTATGCATGACTAATAAGTTTACATGTCCTTTTATAGTTGCCACAACAGAAGCAGATTGGGTTCCTCTTGAGCTATGCTTTGGAATTCCACTGTTTAGTTCTGAATTAAACCGGAAAGTTTGTAGAAAAATTGCTACCCATGGCCTTTGCAGAAAAGAGAGGTAAGGGTTTATGTTCATTGTCATCTTTTCATCTATGAGATTTTTAAGTCAGTAATATTTGCTATATCTTTCTTGTATTTTATACATGAACATAGCAATTACCTGTGTATATTTGTTTATTGAATAAAGTTTGCTACTTTAAGGGTTTTGATATATTTTCAAAATTAAACTTTTATACCTCAGAAAATAGGCACATACAAACATTTTAGGCACATGTTTTGGCTAATTATAATTATATTTACGTAGTTACCCAGATTTGGTGAGGGTGTGGTAAACGGAGAATGCTCATGAGAGTATGAGCCTGGTTTTTTAAAATATATAAATGTTTGTAGAGAATTTTTCTTGTGGACTTCTCTTACTCCACAAACACACACTCAAGTTATGTTATCTTAATAGTGATTATGTCTTGAGGTGGAATTATGGCTGACTTTCAAAGTTGTCTTCAATTTCCACATTTCCTAAAATGAGCATTTATTACTTATCAGAGATGACATGTAGGTTTTCCCTTATGACAACTCTGATCCATTGGTCGTGGCTGCTAAAAGGTAGTATTGTAAAGACTCTGAGACTGACTGGGTTAGTTAGAAAAGAGCATCATTGAATCTGATGGTCACAGTGGATAACTTGGAAAGGTGATATCTACCGATCTGTTTTACTTATTTAGGAAAACAGAGTTGGATAATAAATCATTCATTTTACTGGCTTAATGTAGCTTATATCAGAAGATTAAAAGTGCTCAGTTGACAAGTAATTTTATTTATGTATTTATTTATTTATTTTGGTTAATCCTCACCTGAGGATATTTTTCTACTGATTTTTAGAGAGAATGGAAGGGAGGGGGAAAGACAGAGAAACATCGATGTAAGAGTGACACATCGACTGGTTGTGTCCTGCACATGCTCTGACCAGGGGAGGTATGTGCCCTTGACCAGATTCGAACCTGGAACTCTTCGGTCCAGGGCCGATGCTCTGTCCACTGAGTCAAACTGGCTAGGGCGACATGTAATTTTTAATAACTGTCCTCTGAAAATAAAATAAGACATGAATAAAATAGAAATGCTATAGCTTTGAAGATTGTCACTATAATTGTTACCTATTTATATATTTGAAAAATATTTAATTTGGTGGGTTGATGTATGTTAAATATGTCAGACTTCATCCCTCCAAGTGCATAAATTTTTATTTAAAAAGGTTATTTAGTAAACATTTATATTTGCTAAACCTTATAACAATAAATTTTAATTTTGGTAATTTATGATGTTTTATGTCAAAATGGTCTTTTTATGTACTGTTACTCCCTATTATTAAAAGAGGCAACAATTTCATTGATGAGAACCATTGAAATTGGTTTTTAAAAAATTTTAATGTGGTTAATCAGGATTTATATGCTGATATAAATGTTTTGAAATTAGTAAAATTAAACTGTTGAAATTAGCAAAATTAAACTCTTGTCATTATATTTGTACTAAACTTTCCCCCCTTTCTTTCAGCCTTCAAAACCTCTTACATTCCAGTAGAAAACTTTCTCTACGAGTCCTTAACTTTGTTCACTCATTCCAGGTAATAAACCAGAAGATCCAAATGTTATTGGTGTAGAGCTTTAAATACAAAACACTTCCATGTTTGCTTTGAATCTCCACTGCAGTAGACATGAAATAAGCATTAATTTAAATTTATACCCGAAGACACCAAGATTCAGGAAGTAAACTGACTTGCACCGAGCTCATGAGCCAGGACTTCTGGCTCTAAAGCTTGAACTCTGTTCTGTGCCAGTTCTTCATTCAGGAGTGTGTTCAGCATCTGTTACAGGCCATGCATCATACAAGGTGCTGGCTCTTGAGTCTGGTACTCCATTAATAACTGCAGGGAGCTCCATTGTCTGTGTGGTAGTGAAAGCCAGTGCTCTAGACCTTTTGTGTCCTGTGTCGTCCCCCCCCCCCCCCCAACACACAGAGGAAAGAATACCCTAGATTTGATTTGTAGATAAACTAGAATGGAATATTTCTGTTCAGAATATCTGATCTAATAATTTGAAATTAATATTTTAGAGTTTTGTTTCATTCATTCTTTCAATAAATACTTGCGTTTACTCCATCCAGACCCTTTACCAAGTGCTGGGGAAACAATGATCTCTAAGACACTAGAGGAGCCTAGAGGGTTGTACGAGACACTAGTCAAGTAAACGTCGATTTCAGTAGGTACTTTGAAGGATTCAGGCTCCTTCAAATCTGATGGATTCCAAAGCTAGACCTACTTTAAATAGGTAGAGATGCTATATAATCTGAAACCTAAAGGATGGAAAAGAGTATTCCAGGCAGAGTTTAGCAGGCACAAAGGTCCTGTGTCAAGAAAACAGAAGGCCAGTGTTGCAGAAGCCTCATGAAAGAGGGGCAGTGGCAAGAGGGGTGGGGAGGGCCTTCTAGAATGTATTAAAGCATTTGTGGTTTATGCTGAGTGCATTCAAGACTTAAACAGAGAATGACATTATTTCTTTAAAGATTAGTTACTGTTTAGAGAATAAATTAAAAATGGGCAAGCATAGAAGTAAGATTAGTTTGGAGACTACTGTAATAGCCCAAGTGAGAGATTTCAGTAGCAGCCTTTCTCATTAAAAAAACCCCCCACAAAAACATAATTTTGTAGGTATCCACAATACAGGTTTGTTTATTACACATATATACTGTTACACCAATAAATTACATATATTATAAAACATACACAAAAATAGAAATTCTTAAAGGATGCAATAAGTAGATACAAGATTTTAAAATTTTCGTAGTACCATACCCCACTTTGGAGTGAGTACCCCACTTTGGAGGCCACTGGCCTAAACTGGCAGTGGCTGTGGTGAGTTAGGTAAATTATTTTGGGATCCATGTTGGAGGTTGATTGACAGAACCTGGTGATTCGTTAAATGTGAGGAAATATTGAGGGTGTGATAGGAAGGGAGGAATCCGGGAGATTCTCGTATTTCTGAGTAGCTTGATGTGGGGGGTAGGGGACACGGTCAGTGTGGCACGTGTGGTGCCGCATCTGAGCGCGAATGTTGGGCATGCTTGAGCCCGGAGTTCGCGGGGGAGGTCTGTGCTGAATATGTGCCTGTGAGAGTCCTGCGAGTGGATGGGCTGTTCTGGCGCTAAATGCTGCGTGAGGGTTTTTAGAGATTGTCTGAGAACTAACCTCCTCTTATACCGTAGTCTCATAGCCTAGTATTTCTATTCATTTCAAAGCACTTAGCATAGTCCAACTTGTGGTAGTCATTTCTGCATATGTTAATACCTCTCATTGATTATTTTGGGTTTGTGAGGTAGGTCTTTGCGTCTCCATTAGTACTTTGCATTCCATAAACATTTCTCCGGTAATCAAGTCTGTTAGCTATACTACGTGGTTTGGTAACATGTAGAATACAGAATTTTTCTCTTGTTTCTTGATCTTTTAGGAAGGTGCTTCAACACTGGATATTCACACAGAGGCCAGCTTTTCAAGTTTGCTCTCCCAGTCATCCCAAGCAGATCTGGGAGTCCCACTGCCCGCAAAGAACTTAATATTTAAAGATGGCATCTTATCTGAATGGAGTGGACGGTCACCTTCCTCACTGCGTATTGCTAGTCTCCATTTGCAATGATTTGGTTACACCATTTGTTGCTCACACTTTCTGCCTTTTTCTTTCTTAAGGTTAGCTTTATAGTGCCAGCCACTAAAGAAGCATCCTGCCGCTGCCGTGCGATTCATGCTTACCTGATGTTTGAAGTTTGGGGGACACGTTCACGGTTTCTGAAGTTTTCCTCATCGTTGCACCTCCTAATGCAACCAAGAGCTTTTTAGCAGCCTGCACTGTATTTTTTACCTTGAGACAATCTTTATTTCTTTTATAAAACAGGATATACTTTATAGGCTTTATGATGACTGTTATGTTTATAAGCGGTCTCTACGAATATTGCAGTGGTAATTTTATATGTTAGGTTATCAAACGTAAATCTTGTTTAGTTTTATATTTTGTTACCTACTCTGTAGGGGATCATGGGAAGAGGGGAACTCTTCCTCTGCGAAGGCTTCTTGGTACTTAAGTAGCAAAACTATGAAACATACACACCCAGGACTGAGAAATGATGTGACGGGGCATTAAGAACTCCTGTGGCTGTCTGTAAATTATGTAGATCAGTTGGACATTGTTGAAGGTATGTCAATCAGCATAGTTCTGTGTAACTTACCCTTGATTTATAAGGTCTTAACTCCGACTCTGACTCTACATTGACATCTCATGAGAAGCTTTGGAAAGCATTCTATTTTTAAACAACATTTATATGTGGACTTCTGTTGTCACTCACTTTGGACTTTATATTTTCATAGAGTCTTTCTGGAAAAATAGAATTTATTTTCCGTTCTTGTAGCTGTGGCTGCTGCACATTTTCACTGTGACTTATTTTTTGTTTGTAATTTTACCAATTAATTGTTATGAAATTGAATTTGATGTTCTCAAACCAAGGGTTATGATTTTAGGTTAGAATTATATAAGAGAAGCATTAAAGCTATGTCTTCTGATCAAAATACTTTAGTGAAAAGCCTACTTTGAAGACATAATTAGGTAGTTTGGATCTTAAATTTATGTGAATAGTTCGGGGAGGAAATGATAAAGGAAAATTGAGTATTTCAAAATGTTTCTTAAGTCATTGATTCTTTTAGTGTCTCAAATATTAGAATAATTGGAATCACTTTTTAGATTTTTCAGGTTACCTTGGGAAGTTTGTGCAGTGTTATAGTTTAGTTTAGCTCTTCTCCTAGGATAACGGTTTGCTAGTTTAAAACTGTAACCAAATGAACTGATCAAAGAACATATATCTAAAACACTTAAGGCATTAGAAAATTTGGGAATGCTAAACCCTAAACTTTCTTGCTGATAATTTTTGTTATTTGTAGAACTGATATTTGTGGATTTTAACATACTTCTGGAAATATATGCCTTTTTAAAACTGTTAACATAACCATGCATTCAACCCCATGGCCTACCCACAGAATTGAATCTTTTGGAGCAGGTTACCTGTGGCAAGTCAGTGCCGTGTTTAGGTAAATGCAGTTAACTTTTAGTTTTCTACTTTCTCTCTTATATGAGGTAGAAATCAGTGTATCTTATAAATGTTTGTCTATAAAAGGAAAAATACATACTATTAAAATAATTTCTTATGACTGTGAATCACTCATTCCCCCCAATAATTGATATTGGACATTCCTAGTGCTATTAGGTATGTATGTAACTTACAGTTTTTCAACCAAAAGTTGAAAATATTTCATTTGATCAGGGCTCTCTAATCTCATTTGCTTTGTTTGAATTAACTGTAGTTATTTTATTTATTCCTGTATTATCAGTCTAAGTCTATTGTAGTGACATGTACACTAATAAAGAATCAGATATTTGTACTTGTTGGCAGTGAACCCAGTTGTTGGTGAATTTAAAACTTAAAATGTGGAAGCGATTTGCTGCTGCATTTCCTTTGAGAAATAATGGAAGAAGAAATAGAACCTAATCATGATCATGAATTTTAGGGGAAGTACTGAAAAAGCATGTGGCGCGCTCTGGTTTCTCCTGTAAATAAGGAAAGATTCTGGTTCCCAGCTGAAGACCTCATTTTTAAGGAGGGCAGTCTGCTTTTTTATTTTTATTTTATTTTATTTTTTCGTTAATCCTCACCCAATGATATTTTTTCCATTGATTTTTAGAGAGAGTGGAAGGGCATGAGGGAAGGAGAGAGAGAGAAACATCTATGTAAGACAGACACATCTATAGGTTGCCTTCCGCACGCATCCTGGCCAGGGCTAGGGATTGAACCTGCAATCCAGGTATGTGCCCTTGACTTCGAATCGAACCAGCGACCCTTTGGTGCACAGCCTGGTTAGAACTGTTAGCAAAATGTGCAGGCTGCTTTGTGCTTTGCTTTATGAATTTGGCTTTGTCTCATTTATATTTTAACTCATGTAAAGATGCATCTCTTAAATCTTATAAGTATTGATCCATTTCAACAAAAAGGTAAATGTAAAATACAGACTTTATTATTTGCCAAAGATGATTTGTGAAATAATTTTTTTGCAGATGTTTAAAGTAATTTCATTGGCTTTTGCTACCTCCCATTTCTTCCCGCCTGTAATGTAGCTTAAACCATGGCAAACATTCCTTGGAAACTAAGAGAAAAAAGGTATCAGGAAGGACATGGAATTTTCTGTGACACAATTTCACCTCTCAAGTGGGTCTAAAGAGCCGAAACTTTGTTATTAAAAAAAGATGATCATCTGATTTCCTCCCTTTTAAGTATGTAATCAGATGATTTTGTGGGTTTTTAAATATTGGTTTCTTTTATTTGATGTATTTAGTTTTCTGTTATCTTTCTCTTTTATGTTCAGTGTTTCAAATACAGTTTGTATTTAAAGATTTTTAAAGTACCAAAATTGTAACTAAGTACAGTGGATTGTTTTCTGGTATGATATTAAATATGAAATGTATAAAGTGTTGTCAATTTGATTATTGACACATATACTATGTTTACAAATAAACTGGTGGTGATCAATTACTGAGAAAATGTGTATAATCTTCTGTAAGTCCCTTTAAGTACAACCATGCTGCTGTGGCTTTCCTATACATTGTTTTAAACAACCGTTTTATTTTATAAGAATTTCACATTTACTCTCTATCCCCTTCCCTCAGCTTCCCCTAATGTTAACATCTTATGTAAACTATAGCACATCTGTTAAAACTCAGATATTCGCATTGATATGCAGCTATTTACTAAACAGCAGACTTGATTTGGTTTTCACCTTTTTCCACTAATGTTCTTTAGTTCCAGGATCCAACCCAGGATACCACATTGCATTTATTTAGTCATTAATGGTTCTTTAGACTCCTCCTACCTGTGACAGTTTCTCAGTCTTTCATGACCTTGACACTGAAGGGCACTGCTTGGTGGTTTGAAGGGTGTTTTGATATTTGAGGTGATGCTGTATCGGGAGGGACAGCACAGAGGTGATGTGCCCTTCCACACTGTATCGTATCATGGGTATGTGGTGTCAGTGGGCAGCACTGGTGATGTTCCTTCTTTGGTTTAAGGTGGTATCTGCTAGGTTTTTCCACTTTCCTTACTTTCTTTGGAAGTGAATCATTAACTTGAGCCCACATTCAAGGGGAGGGGGGCAGTATTTAATATTTACATTAATATGTGATCCTGGCTACTTATTTTATACTTTAGTTTGAAATCCAATACTGTTATTATTTTGTGCAAATTGTTTCAGCTTTGGGTATTGGGAACATTTGTGATCTGCTCCTAAATTCTTTTGACGGGCCCTTATTTTTTTTAAGACCATATTCTTACTTTGTGGCACTACAAGTATTATCTGGACGCCTGCCCAGGAATGAGCTATTCCTTCAAGGATCCCTGATTCCTTTTACTGGCGACGGTATTTAGAAACCAGGATCTGGGTGATGGGTGTGCTTGTTGCTACTGGTTGTATGCCTCTTCAGTGGAACAAGCTGAGAGATATAAATATGTATACTAACCAATATAGGTGCACATCTCTGTATTATTTCTAGATCTATCTCTGTGTATATTACATAAACATGAACTTAAACTGACTCCCATCAGCAGCACAGGTTCATTCTGGTTTTGCCCTTTGCTTATTTGTAATATTCCTTCCTTTGAGAGGGAGTAACCTGGCTCCTGTTATCTATCTGCAATTTATTTATTTGTTCAGCCCTAGAATACTTATAAAGTGGTTTCAGAATAGTTAAGTTGCACCCTGTGAGAAACAAATTGACCAACTAGAGTATAGTGTTTAGGTGCTTTGTCTTTAGCCCTACAGTATCTACTCAAAGTACCATTTCCCAAGTAACTTAGTTTCACGTCTTTTATTCCCACTCCTTTCATTGAGGGTATGGCATACATTTGTCAAACATTTGTCACACTGCATTCCACCTGGAATCTGACATGCCAGTTGATTTTTTCACACAGTAAAATTCATTCAGTTCGGGCTTTGACACATGCATAGTCCTGTGTCCACGGTCTCAGTGCTATTCAGAATAGCTCCATGACCCAAAAACTCCCCTATGCCCAGCTCCCCACCCCTGGCAACCACTATCTGTTTTGGTTCCTATAATTTTGCTTTTATTCAGAATGTCATAAATGGTAGAATTGAAGAATTGATAGCCTTTTGAATCTGGCCTCTTTTGCCTACCAAAATTCATTTTAAGTTCATGTGTGAATCACTAGCTCGTTCCTTTCCATTGCTGAATACTTCACTGTATGGAGGTGTTAAGATTTGGTTATCATTTAACATAAACATATAAGCTTTTAATCTATAATAATAAAAGCTTAATATGCTAATTAGACTGGACGTCCTTCTGGACAAAGTCACGGCAGCGGGGGCTGAGGCAGAGGCGGCAGAGGCCCCAGACTGCGGCGGTGGCGGCAAGGGCCGAGCCCCTTGCATGAATTTCATGCCTCAGGCCTCTAGTAGAAACACATAATTTGTTTTGCTTGGGTAAATACCTAGGAGTGGGCTTACTGGGTCTTGGTAAGGGTATCCTATATAATAAAAGTTAAATATGCAAAGTGACCCTAATGGCAGAACAACTGCTCAACCAGTCACTATGAGGCACACTGACCACCTCTCAGTCCCTCCCTCCCTCCCCTTCCCCTCACCCCTCTGCCAGCAGGCAGGCTCCGATCACCCAATGGCAAATGGGGAACCGGGGGTCAGTGGTGGGGAATGCCAGCAGTGCCAGGCCAAGGCTCCTGCCCCGCAGGTCTCCCCACACACACAGGCAACCCGCAGTGGGGGTGGGGCTGGAAAGCAGGAGAAAACGGGGAAGATGACCCTGATCTAGGGACTGTACCCCCACACGGATTTCGTGCGCTGGGCCTCTAGTATTTTATAAGAAACTGCCAAACTGTCTTCCAAAACGACTGCCATTTTGCATGACCAGCAGCAGGGAATGCGCTCCTGTTGCAGTGACATCATGTGGCCGGTTTATTTGTTTCTGTACTGAGAAATGATGTTGACCATCCTTTTGTCTGCTCATTTGCCATCCACATACCTTTTTGGGGGAAGTGTCTGTTCAGATTTGTTCCCCATATTGAAAAAATTGGGTTTTCTTGTTGAGTCTTAAGAGTTAATATAGGTTCTGAATATAAGTCCTTTATCAGATATGTGTTGTGCACATTCTCTTTCTCCCATTCTGGCTTGTCTTTTCAGTCTCTTGATCATTTAAAATAAGAAATCCTCCCAGCCTCTTTATATTTTGTTTCTTTTTCTTTTTTAATTTGGGGGACAAAGAATGCCACCCTCAAAAGAAGCCACTGTAGTGGTAGGTGTAGGGCATGAAGGTGTTGCAGTTTAAAAAGTTGGCATTCCTGTGGGCTTGCCCCCGTCTGTCTCTTCCTTCCACGTCACTAGAGGGCCACCTTGCTCTTTCTCTCCCTGTTAGATGCTCTCTCTTCTTGCTCGGTCATTGGCTGCCCTGAGAAGACTGAGGCCCAGGCTGGAGAGCCGAGCCCCACCCTGTAGGAACTAACAGCTGGAGGTGCCAGATAACCACCTTTTTGTAGCTAGAAAGGGAGTCCATTCTTGAAGCAGGTTCTGAGGGCTGCGTCTCTGTGCTTGATACATTCACTAATCTCCTATATAATAAAAGCCTAATATGCAAATCGACTGACCAGCGTAACAACCAGTCACTATGACGCACACTGACCAACAGGGGGCAGACGCTCAAAACAGGGAGCGCCACTCAGACAGAAGCTAGTCTCATGGCTGGCGAGCGCAGCAGCAGTGGTGGGAACCTCTCCCGCCTCCATGGCAATGCTAAGGAGCAGTGAGCAGGCGGATGGTAAGGAGCAAGGGGTCCTAGGCTGTGAGAGGGATGTCTGACTGCCGGCTTAGCATGGGGAGCGGGCCTAAGCTGACAGGCAGACAGCCCCTGAAAGGTCCTGGACTGTGAGAGGGCACAGGCTGGGCTGAGGGACGCTCTTCCCCCCGCCACCCCCCAGTGCAAGAATTTCATGCACCAGGCCTCTAGTCCTATCTAATAAAGAGGGAATATGCTAATTGACCCTCACACAGTCACAGATGGTGGGACCCACAGCCAATAAGGAGGGGCTGTGCTAATAGACTGCCCCACCCTCAAAGATGTCAGCATCCACAGCCAATAAGGAGGGAATATGCTAATTGACTGCCCCGCCCTCAAAGATGGAGGAGCCCACAACCAATAAGGAGGGAATATGCTAATTGACTGCCACACCCTCAAAGATGGCAGCACCCATAGCCACAAGATGGTGGCACCCAGTCCCCTCAGCCCTGCCGCGCGCCTGCCTCTGGAGTCCCCCAGTCCCCTCAGTCCCCCAGCCACCCAGGGCCGCCCAAGGCTCAGGTAACCAGGGCCGGCCGAGGCTTGCGCTGCCGGCAGTGGCAGAAGCAGAGGTGTGATGAGACATCGCCTTCCCCTGATCGCTGGGTCGCCTCCCGCCCGAGGGCTCCCGTACTGTGCGAGGGGGAAGGCCGGGCTGAGGGACCACCCCTCCAGTGCATGAATTTTCATGCACCAAGCCTCTAGTAAAACAATAAAAAGACAGGCCAGTGTCTTCATTGCTGGCGTTTAAAAGTCACCCAAGTCCCAGGAGTGCTGGCGTTAGGCCAAACCAAGATGTTTACACTCAAAGCTGAGGTCCAGGCTGCCGAGGGCCTGAGCAGCTTGCTTCCTCTGCAGCCTCCTCTCTTCCTGGGGTGGTGGTATTTCACATCCTTTCTCTCTGGGAATTCTCAAGTTGCATGAGGACAGCACAGATTTTCTTTTCAAAAGAATAAAACAAAGTAGTTACAGAACAGTCACGAGGATGTAAAGCACAGCATAGGGAATATAGTCAACAATGTTGTAGTAACGATGTATGGTGCCAGGTGGGTACTTGAGATGTCAGAAGGATCACTTTGTCAGTTATATAAATGTCTAATCACTGGTTGTTCACCTGAAACTAGTGTAATATTGTACACCAACTGTAACTGAAAAATAAAAAAAATATTTTAAAAAAGAATGAACAGAATTTGTTTATGGTTCCCCTTCTTCACTTGCCACCCCCAGCCCTGCTAACTGTTGGTGGAGTTCTCTTGGAAAACCACTTTGACAACATTAGGACTTACTATTGTAGGTCGATTATGAATAAGTTTCCAGAGGAAAGGAGAGAGGGGAGACAGGAAATGGAGAGAGGAGAGGGAGATCCTGAGCATCCGGATGTCCTGACAATGATTTGGCTCCTGGTTTCCTGTCCCTGAGCTCACTGGACTGCCCTCCTGGTTCCTACAAGCCTTCAGTTCTCTGAGATACTCCAGCATCCTTCCAATGAAGCCCCATTTTGGCACAGCCTTCTGAGCTGGGTCTAAGTCTCATAACAGAGGGTTCTCTTTAATACCCTAGAGGTGTGAAAGGGAAAAGGAAAAGAAAGAGACTCTCCTAGGCCATCAGCCCCTATCCCTGTCATCACCCCAATTCAGCGTGCTTTCCTTGACTCTAGATACATTGTCACCAGAATCC